CTCTGGTAGATCATCCTGAAATATCTTGCTATACTAGTTCAATAGCGTTGCCAAGTCATCCGGTACGTCGGCGAGCGGTGTATGCGAATCACTCGGTTTGTCTGCTGCCTCGGCTTTCCGTAAGTCGACTGCGTACACGTCAGCTCCTGACAATACGGCGTGTTTCATCGTGATCCCATTGACACGCATCGACGAAGACTCATGCGAGCTCTAGCGAGGTAGGGCAATGTTGTTTCCATTCACTCGCACGGTGCAATCACCCATCTTCCAATCGATTCGTGGGTTGCGTCGTCGCAACCAATCACGGCCAAGTAGAATGTCGGTCCCGTCGAGGGTCGTCGCCAGCATTTCCTAGGTGAATGTGAAGTTATCCCCGCATCGGATTCGAACTCAGTCCACGCGTTCCTGTATCGCCAGTGGCGTGCGTGGAGCAGTATGAATCTGTCTACCATTGAACCCTCCTTGTCCAGCTGGGTGTGGTCGAGTGCGTGAATCGGCACTGTCACTCGGTGAGGGTCGGCTCGGTCGGGCGAGCGGCGTGGCCTGCCTGTAGAGGGGCCATCTACTACTGCCTCCCAGCATTTCCCTGCTGCCTGGTTTGCTTCTGCTGCTCTGTTCCCTCCTTTCCCTTAGCTCTTACTGTGCCCCGGCCTATTGCACGCAAAGAGCGCCCTTTGAATGGTGCGGCAGCGGCATTCGCGGCGACGACGCGTATCGTTACGTCCTCATTCGTCCCACAAGCTCGGTGTCCCCGCTGCTGCTGATACTGTTGCTTTAGGATTCCGTTCTCAGACGGTGGAGAAAATCGCGCCTTTCCTCCATAGCGAGGATTTCGTTGAATTCGGTTACGTGCGCAACTGAATTTCTTGTACGATGGCGTGCTTCAAGCCGCCGGAATAGCGGTCAATACGTTCCGCCTCATGCATGTATCCCACTTGTTCGCACAACACTAGAGACCCGCTAGTGTAGTCATGGACGGAACCGAGCTGGCGCCAAGTGCGGAGCTTGTGTCGCGCTGCGATCGACGCCGTGATTGGCTCGAATCTCGCGCGCAGACCTGCGCACCACGCATCCTACGTGCGATACTGGGCTACCTCTACGAAATACGACAACGCTCGGGGTCCGGTTGGTCCTTCCCGTGGCGGTAGAGCCTCGTAGTCGGTCGGCTTCGTGACAATGACGCGCCACCAGTCCATGGCGGGTCCTCGTAGTAACGACACGGCGTATCAAATCTTCGCCACGTCCGACGAGACGTAGTTTGCATCGAAAAACACGTTCATGGTGAAAATTCACGACTAAACCGTCGGACCACCACTTTGACTTGGGTTGAAGTAAGGCGGACGCTGCGGCTTGAGCGGCATTGGTGAAGGCGAATCGATCTGCGTCAAAATCGTGACGCGTGGTCTGCTCCTGGCCGCATTCGTCGCTCCGGGGTGTGTCGTCCCGTGATCGTCGCCTCCGTCATTGCATGCGACGCCATCAATAGCCGTGCTCGAGGGTTGTCCCACACTCCCGTGCTGGGATGCATGTCGTGCTCATGGTGCTTGTGTGCCTTGTGTTTGCGACTGTGCTTATTGCGCCCGTGCGATGTAGTTTTGCAGCGATGTGCTTTCGTGCAATTGGTGCGTCAGCTGGTCCAGGCGCTCCTGCGTGAGTGTCGCAAGGTCGATTTGTTCAGCCACGTCAAAGGGCGTTGGCTGGTCTAGTTGCTAGGCGCAGTCATGGCTGCACGCGTTTACGCGAGAACGTGAGGGCAGCGACTCCTAGTACGCTAAGGGGCGTGAGTCCCTTCGAGTGAAAAAAAAAAAATCAAATGCTGGATTTTGCTGGTTGCGGAAATGCGTGGTACAAAAGGAACGTGGCTCTATTAGGCCCCCGAGTCTTCTGTCGGACCACAGGTCTTTATTCCAACCGTTTTCTCAAGGACCCTCCCCCCTAACCCCCCCCCCCCCCTCCCCCCTTCCCCTCCCCCCCCGCCTTCCTTATAAATGGTTTTTTCTACCATTGTAATGAAATTTCTACTATACATCATCCTACATGTACAATCACATACTATTAAGACCTACGTACGTTTCGTTATTCAGTATCATAGTCATAGTCATGCGTACCTACCTATCTACTCTACACTACCTATACTGCACTACCTACTCCTCATCATTATCAGATACCATGGCGCCAGTCTCCTCCTCCTCCTGGGCGCCAGTCGCATAGAGTGGGTTGATCCACTCCTCTGTGTCTCCAGCGGCATGCACATCGTCTTGCACCTCTACGTGCGCCACATCCCACATGTGCGTCAGGATGAGGTGGTCTTCCGCACCGTCAGCTCGGTCGCAAATGGCGCAGGTCTTGAATGACCGATCAATTGTCTCCGCAGGGACTCCCGCCCACGCTTCCGCGATCCACTTCAGAACGAGGTCGGCTGGCGGCTTCTTCATGTTCCTTGCGAACAGAAGCCAACAAGTGTTAGCAAAAGGTTGCATACCGTAGACCGTTGACTACGTTCAATGGCAGCGATGCCGACTTACCACTGGTTGTACGGCTCTCGAACGCGCGCCTTGAAGGTCCAGTTGATGGCGACGTCCGGCGGCTGTACGAGAGGAGTGCAAGCCCCCAGGATGATTGCGGGCACGATGCGCTGCCAGCGCAGAGTTGCCAGCACCCCCTCCCTCAGATGCCCACGATAGCTCTCGAGTACCAGCAAGGTCTTAGACCTTGTGCGACTTGGTGGGGGTTTGGTGTACAGGAGAAGCACATGCTGCACCAAGTCCATGACAAGGCTTGCGTCCATCCAGCCTCGTTCCTGGGCGCGCACCAAAATGCCTACACAGGCAAAGGGTCAGTAAACTTCTGGGAAGCCCCGCATTCCGCAAGCAAGCAACATCTTACCGACTGGCACTTGGATCTTTGGGATCGTCTTCCTCTTGAAGAATACCATCGGTGGCAGCTTGCGGCCATCGCCAGTCACGGCAAGCATGACGGCTATCGCCAGTCACTGCAAGCATGACGGCCATCGCCAGTCACGGCAAGCATAACGGCCATCTGCTCCTTCTCGTAGTCAACATTGCGGATCTGCACGGTGCGCTCACCTCGGTGGAGCAGAGTGTGCTCGTAGGGCATTTCCAAGAACACATGAGTAAGGTCGGCGTTAACCATGTTCCACGCGTCGATCCCGTTTTGGACGACCTGCTTGCGATAGAACTTCTAGAAGCTATCGCACTTCTTCTTGCAGTCTGCGGAGGATAGAGAAAATACAGTCGTTAAAGAAAAATTCAAACTGAGAAGCTCACAGAGCGAGTTCAAAGACCAAACAGACGATATAGGGAAGACCATCGCTTACCTTTCGTTAGTCGCTGCACAATCTTATTCTTCACAAGAACTGTGAGACCCCACCTGGCTTTGAAGCGCTGCGTTTAGTGCAGAGAGGCGCGCCAGTCTACCTCAGGGTGGCGGTTCTTCATCAACGACCGACTCTAAAGCTGCAGGAGTTTGACCGGGACTGCCAGGCCACGTGTCCGATACGCCAGGATCTGCTTGTACACCGACGGCTCCATGCAGGGGTACTTCGCCGTCCGGCCGCCACTGCAGAGACGACGCCGACTTCCAGCCGCGTCGGAAATTTGCGCCGCCGCCTTCTTCCAATGCCTGCCATCCTTGCCGTTTCGCGCACGGACAACTTCTCTTCCATCGTCCGCGAAGACCGCTTGTGCTTGCTTATCCTGCCACGGGAGTCAGGGGCTTTCTTAAAGTTCGTGAGAGAGGGTTCCTCATCGCGCAGAATGTCCAGAGGGAACTGCGGCAGCGGGTACGCCGGCACCTCAGAGCCGTCATCGACGATGTCAGCGTCATCACCTGCAGAAGTATCGCTGTAAGCAGTAGGGAGTGGGAAATCGTCCTCTTAAACCACATGTTCAAACGGCTATGGGAATAGGGGGGGGATTGGTACCGCAGGGGGTGGTGGCGATGGTGGTGCTAGCACTGCAGGCAGTGGGATCGGTGGAGACGGAGGACTCGGAGGAGCCGGAGGAGTAGGAGCCGGTGGGATCGGCGTTGTGTTAGTCAGAGACGCTATAGCACGAGCTGCACTAACAACCTTCATCCTCATGAACATTTCTAGGGCGGACATGGTGCCTGCTAGAGCAGCCAAAGGAAACAAGCGGGGAACACCCCATTGCTGAACGACTGGGAGGGAGATAGAGTTGAAATGCTAGTCGACACAAACAGGCCAGCGGTGCACGGTTTGGTGAATAGTGCTCGTAAAGGTTGGCAAAGTTTCATTAGCAGTAACGGGCGAACCAAGGTTGATCTTGTACACGTGTTGCAACACGCGGTAAGGAATGTCAAAAATTTCCTTTCATGAACCTGCTTGTTCCTTGGTGTAGCATATAATGCATATTCCATATCCAAGCAAGCCATATCCAAGGCGACATTGGGTTCTAAAATCTCAGTAGTACAGAGGAAAGGTGTTTGACCATATTGTATAGTACCGTACATGCACTGATTTTTACAGTGTTCAGGGATCTCCCAACAAACACTACAGGTAAAAAAACAAAACAAAAATCCACATGCAGGGTACCACCGTACAATTCCCTCATGGATTGACAGCCAGCCAGCTCCAGACAAGTTCAATCCAACTATAGAAGTCCCCTCCATCCCCCTCCCTTTCACCCCACACTGTTCCCCCACCTCTCTCCCCTCCCATCCACCCAGTATAATCTGCACCAGCCAGCCTATCTGGATCCTTCCTTCCGTCCAACTTGTTTGCGTTACTTTGCTTTGTTTGCCTCTGCACCTCCCTCGGCTGCCCCTCCTCCTTCCCTTACACAGCTACCCCTACATCCGGCCCTGTCTGCTCCTCTCAAACTTCATACATCTTTACCATCAGGTGGCTTGTGGGGGTAGGAGTCACACCAGGAGATGGCGTGACACAGGCAGTGTAAGGGAGAGTGACTGCAGTGTTACTCCGCTGCCCCAACTCCCGCCCCCCCCTCCCACTGCTCCGTCTACTCCTCAAACTTCAAGAGCGCGTGGGCCTTGGCGGTCGGAGGCATAGCATGGGATGGTGTGACAGCAGCTGGCATGGCGCTGGGTGAAGGGAGAGTGTGCACTGCCTTTTGAGGCGCCTCAAACAATGGTGTGACAGCAGCTGGCGTGGAGCTGGGAGAAGGGAGAGTATGCACTGTGATCAAACCAGTGGGGAGAGCCTTACAGAAAGGTACAGAGGTGTTACTGGAGGGAGGTGTAGGGCTGTTATACGGGGAGATGGCATGAGGGGGGACTGTTGAAGGAGGAGGAAGATAGAGGGGAGGCGAAGGTAGAGAGCCAGCAGAAACAGGTGATGTGTGGAGAGCAGGATAGGGAGGAGGCGTGGTGGGAGGGGGATGCATATAAACTTGCGAAGGAATGTGCACAGCAGTAGCAGCAGAGGGAGGAGAAGCAGCAGCAGAGGGAGGAGGAGGAGGAGCGGTAGCAGCGGCAGCAGGAGCAATCCCGAGAGGGGAAAAACCAACTGTTCTGGTTGATGCCTCTGTTGCTCTGGTTGCAGCAAGGGCAGCAGTGATGGGAGATACCCGGGGGGAGTGAGGGGAGCGGGAGCGGAACCGGGGCGAGGATGGGTGCAAGAGCAGCGGTGGAGGAGCAAAGGTGATGGGAGTAGCAGCATGGCCGGTATAAAAGGCAGTGGTGCAATGAGGGGAAGAGGAGGACGGAGTAGCAGCAGGAGGAGAGGCCGTTAGAAGGGAGGCCGTGACATGGGAGCAGATGGTATGAGGTGAGGAAGCAGGAGGAGTAGCAGTGGGAGGGGAGGCAATAGGATGAGGGTGTACAGACAGGAGAAGTTCAGTGGGAGGGGAAGCAGGAGGGCGGGAAGCAGAGGGAGGGGAAGCAGAGGGAAGGGAGGCAGTGGCAGGAGGGGAGGCAGTGTCAGGGCCAGGATGAACCCTTTTTGCCTTTAAGAGCGAACCATGAGTACCCATGATGGATAGTCTGCTTATGTTGCTGCTGCCGTTGCTGTGGCTGCTGCTGTGGCTCCTGCTACTACTGCTATGGCTGCTGCTAGTGCTGCTGGTGCTGCTGTGGTCTCGCATAGCCGCACCGTCCTCCTTCACACGCTCCCCCCTTGCACACAGACCTGGAGCAAATAGACGCCTGCTCGTGGCAGCAGCAGCGGTGGTGCCAGCGGTGGCAGCACTGTTGGTGGCAGCAGTGGTGGTGGCATCACCAGCACAAGCACTAGGCGGGTTCAACAACTGCGAGGCAGCAGCAGCAGCAGCAGCAGCACCAGCATCAGAGGAAGGTGCAGCGGCAGGAGTAGCACAAGCAGCAGGCTGCGCAGTGGTGAGAGTAGCAGCAGCAGGAACAGAAGGAGGAGGAGGAGGAGCAGCAGTAGGGTACTGAGGCGCAGGGAGCGCAGCAGGAGGGAGCGGCAGTAACTGGGCGAAGCGATCCCGGTAGCGCATGGGGCGTGAGAAGGGGGAGGCCGCAGGCGACGGGATGGGGGAATGGGGGGAGGACGGGGCAACACGGGGAAGATACGGGGAGTTTGGCGCACTCTCCGTCCCCCCCAATCCTTCCCCCCACGGGTCTTCTCTCCGCCCATCCCTTCCCCCGTCTCCCCCCCTCTCCCTTCCTCCTGCTGCGCTGCCTTCCCCTGCTGCGGAGTCCCAGCCTACTGTTCCTAGCACACCCGCGAGGGAGAGCGGCGGGGGGCGCAGGCGGAAGGCGGGGAGGAAGGGGAAGGCGCGGAAGGCACGGGGGGACATGGGATTGTGATCTGCGCCCTGCTGCTGCTGCTGTTGCTGCTGCTGGTGCCGTTGGTACTGCTGCTGCTGCTGCTTGTGCTGCAGCAGTGGCGAAGGCGACTGCAGTGCACTCTGCAACTCGCTCCGCTTCTCCAATGCCCTGGCCACACCCCCATCCACCTGCTGCTTGTTTTGAGACGTCTCAAAACACGCCCTGGCCACACCCCCATCCACCTGCTGCTTGTTTTGAGACGTCTCAAAACACGCCCTGGCCACACCCCCATCCACCCGCTCCCTCTTCTCCCGACCCTTCTCCACCATCTCCTCCCTATCCTTCCTCTCGTCCCGCTTCACAGGGGAAACATCAGAAGCATGCACGTAAGCAGGCGCGGCAGCAGCAACAGCAGCAGGCATGGTCGCACGAGCAGGCACCGCAACCTGAGAGGGCACAGGACCATGGGCAGGCGGTACAGTAGCAGGCGGCGTACCCCCCTTAAGCGCCACAGCATCAGGCCCGCTCCTTGCTGCAACCTCCTGCGCGCACGCCTGCATGTGCGCGTATCCTTGCCCATACCCACCAGCACCATACACTCGCCCACATTCGCGCTCACGCTCACGCTCGCGCCCGTACCCATCCCCATACCCGAGCCCAGGCGGCGCGCGCGGAACCGCACCCCCCTGCGCCTGCGCCTCCGCCTGCGCGCGCGCGTGCGGGTTGTGGCGCACCATCCACGGGTGCAGCAGCACCTGCGCGAGCGGAATGCGCCCCTGCGGCGTCGCGCACAGCATTCGCCGCACCAGGTGCTTCGCCTCCCCGCTCACCGTCCCCCACGGATGCCGCGTCAGATCCGGCTGCGCGCGGCAAATCGCGCCGAAGATCGTCGCGTGATCCTTCCCGTAGAAAGGCAACACGCCGGCCAATGCGGTGTATAGAACGACGCCCAGGCTCCACACGTCTACGGCAAACCCGTACGTTTGGTGCTTGACGATCTCTGGAGCCATGTAGAACGGGCTTCCCGCCAATCCGCGCACCTGCTGCCCCCGCTGCAGCACCAGGGATAGCCCGAAATCTGCAACTTTCACCCGCCGCTTTTCCCCCGCCTCTCCCTCCCCTCCTTCTCGTTCCGCCTCTCCCTCCCCCTCCCTGGCAATTTCTCGACGCGCGGAGCAGCTGGAACGGGACCGCGCGGAGCAGCTGGAACGGGACCGCGCGGAAAAGTCTCCGCCAGCGCCACTAGTGACCGTGGGGAGAAGGGAGGCGGAAGCGGGAACAGGATCGGAAGCGGGAACGGAAGAAGGAGCGGGGTTCACCAGAAGAATATTCTCGGGTTTAAGGTCGCGATGCAGTATCGCGTTAGTGTGCATGTGCTGTACCGCGTACACGACCTGGCGCAGCAAGAGCGCGGCTTCGCGTTCGCTCAGCCGCTTTTTCCGCGCTATAAACTCGAACAGGTCGCCGCCCTCGCAGTGCTCCGTTATAACGTGCACGGCGGCGCTCGCGGCGTCGACGACGACCTCGCGCAGCGAGACAATGTGCTCGTGCCCGCGCAGGCGCAGCAGCATGCAGATCTCCGCGCGCAGCTCGTTCACGTCCTCCTGGCGCTGCCATGGGGGAAGCGCGGGGGAGGAGAGAGCGAGCGCGGGGGGATGGGGACGGAAAGGGGGCCACGGGGGGTTGGGAGGGCGGGCCGGGGGAGAGATTACGAGGGATTGACGAGAAAAAAAGGGAGAATTTTTGGCAATAAAATTTGAGGGAGGAGGGGGAAGAGGGAAGAGACGTGTCAATAGCGCCGAGAATCGCGATACGTGGGTCCGATCCGATTACTACCAAAAGTGATGGTGAGGCTTCTGCAGCACTAGTTACCGTGGATAGCAGTGGATCTGCTACATAGGAGGAAGGAAGGGAAACGAATGTCCACTTGTTTATAGTCAGATTCATTACCGCGAACAAAACAAAACCACCACAGTCAACGAACACACTGCAGTGGAAACCATACCTTGACATTCGATAGAAGCACGGACTTGCACGCAAACTGCTCCCCCGTCTCCGCATCCCAACACACGCGCACCACGCCGAAATGCCCCCGCCCCACCTCCTCCCCCAGCCGATAAAACTGCTCCACACTCGCGCAATCTCCGCTCCCCTCCCCCCGCACTCTGCTCCTCTGCTTCTCCTCCCTCCTGCACTCTCCTCGGATCCCCACAAGCGCAAACGTACCCGCCTCTCCCGAATCTCGGCTGCTTGTCAGATCTTCCCGCTGTCCCAGCTGCTGCTCCCTTAGCATCACTATAAGCATCTCCTTTAACGACTCAATACCTTCGGCCTTCTCATCCCTCCCGCCATGTCCCCCCTGTCCGACTTTACCGCCTGTCACAACCCCAACACCGGAACCAACTCCTACATCCTTCTCCGCTCCCCCGCTGCCCCTCCCCACGCCATTAGCATCCGCGCAATGCGCCTCCCCGCTAGCGCCCTTACCAGCTCCAGTAACAAGCCCGCCTGGTATCCCGCACTGCTGCTGCTGCTGCTGCTGCTCCCGTTGCTGCTGCAGCAGCCGTTGCTGCCGCTGCTGCAGCACCCATCGCTCGAGCGTGCGTGTGAGGGAGAGAGCCAACGAATGGAGCTGCCCCGTCGACATGCCGTGATCCAATGAGAAACGCCGCACCCGCCGCTGCCGCTGCGCCGACTGTATCTGCTGCTGCTGCTGCTGCGGCGGCGGCGGCGGCGGTAGCTGCTGATGATGTTGTAACGAGCCACTGTTTTCCCCACCGTCGTTTACAGCTTCCGTCGAGCTACCCAGCACTACCGTTGACTTTGTTGACTCCGCCAAAACACCTTGACCCGCGCGGAAAACGAACGGTGCGGACGGGGAGGCGTCGGCGGGAAGCGCGGATCCTCCAGGCGGAGACTGTGCCGCCACCACAGCGCGCATTTCCGGAGCGACGGGAGCGCGGATCGCGGCGTGGACCGCGGCGTGGTTCGCGGCGCCGCCAGCGCCAGCCGCGCAGCGCTTGTTGCGGTCGAACGAGAGCTTGAAGGTCTCCGCCAGCGCTTGCGCCGAACGACCGAGAAGCGGAGAGCCGCTTAAAGCAGCAGAAGGGCTACTATTACTACCACTCGTAATGATACTATTACTCGTAGAAGCCGTGGCATCAGCAGTCATGGTAGTTGTAATGATCGTCGGAGTAGCAACCACGGCAGCATTAGCTCGACAAGAGTCCTTTCCGGTGCAAGAAGTCTCCAGAAACTCGGGAGCATCTCGCCCAGCGATCGCGCTCGCGGTAGTGGGGGAGCTGCTGCTTCCGCCGAAGCCCGATGTTGCCGCCTTGTGGCATGCGCGGAAGGGGAAGATGCACAGCTGCGCGGTTGCCGACGCGGCGCTTTCCAACGGATCCAGCATTGCTAGCGCGCGATGGAGTGGTGGATCCGACGGTAGATCCAGCTGTAGATCCGACGGTAGATCTGACGGTAGATATGACGTGAAGGTTGCACGCAGCCGCCGCGAACAGGATCACTGGCGCTGGGGATTGCAGCAGCAGCAATAGCAGCCAGGTGCCTGCGCCTCCGCCTCTGTGCCTTTTGCAGGGTTTGGTCTTGAGGAGCTTGAAGCTTGAATTCGGTGGAGAATGATGCGTGCTGAGGACGATGATGAGAACGAGGATGACGAACTGACGGCCGCAGGTCAGACTGCCATAGGACGAGGACCGGAGATCAAGCAATTAGAACGCAAGTTAATCGCAACACACCAAGTCATGGCCCAGCAATCCAGAGTCCCGTCGCCCGAGCTCGTGGGGAGAACGTCGTGGGAAGTGGAGCTTTGAGGAAGAAAGGACTCACACGAGTAGAAGAGTAGCTGTCCTGTCACTGCTCGCAGCCGCACGGACTCACACGAGTGCGCGCGCGCTACTCGACTACCGCTAAGAGCCGTCTTTTAGTAGTAATATGGCTCCTGACTTGCTGGTTGTTAGCAAGAGCTCCACTCTTGCGTGCGGTTTGTATCGGTCTGGGTGTATTTCTCGGGGTTGAGCGAGTCGGCGGACGGGCCGACGAGTCGACTCGACGAGGTTGGAACGGATGTGGCAGGTAGAAGAAGCTTCGAACGCAGAAAGGAGACAGAAAAAACGATGCTACGCGGGATTCACCTACTCTTATATACACGCTGCGGTGCCCAGCCCAGGTGGACTGGACCCCTCTTCCCCCCTGTGCGGGGGAAAGGGGGAAGTGGGGGAAGAGGGAGATCCGCGCAACGAAGCGCTATTAGGCGGAAGGCACGAAGCCGGCTGGGGGGGGAAACGGGAAGGGGAGGTTGGGGTGGGGAGAGGGCGGGGAGAGGGTGGGGAGAGGTTGGGGAAACAAAAATCGATAGTGGGGGCCACAGCGGCTGCTCCGCCAGTCACAGCGCATCGCACACGTCACTTCACATGGTGAGGCACTGCCTGGCTGTCCAGCAATAATGACGCGCGTTTGCGCTTCCCCCCCCTCCCTCTGCTCTTCCGCGCGCATTACGCCTCCGTACCCGCGAGCACCGCCGGGAAGCGCGAGAAAGCGCGAACTCAGGTCTCGTAAACAGCGGCGCACCCCGCAAGGTCTCGCTTTGGCGCTTGGTCGACGCGACGAGTCAAGCTCGTCGCGCTCCGACGTGCGCAGCAAAGAAGTGCAAAATCTAGGAGGTTCAGCGAGTTGTGGTCCCTGACAGCTCACAGCTTACCTCACCTGGCAAGCAATTAGATGTTTAAAACTGAGTAGGCACACATGCTTGTTTTCCATCAGCCAAAAGATTGTATAGCATGTGAACGCATGGCGATAATGATTCTGAGATCCGCGCTGGTAGTACAATAATAGCCTTCCGTCGAGGTCACAACGATTCGCGCGCGGCGCGGGAAACCAGCGGCTTGCGTGCATGTTGGCTCACATACCGCCCGCGCTTCGCAGGGGTATGTGTGCTGCATGAGCGCCTGTTGGTTCGCTAAAAGCAGCCAGCTGGAGAGCAGCCAGGGGGAAAGAACCCTCTTCGAGATTGGTGTCGACGAGTGTTTTACGGAAACAGCATTCTGTGGTTGCCTATCCACTTTCTATTAAAGGAGAGATATTTACACGTACGTTAATCCCATGAGGGGAGGGGTGGGAAAGACTAAAAGTTGGTTCTTTTGGAAACAGCAGGATGAGATTACAAATGTACACTAGTATTTATACAACTGAATTGCCAATACAACATAGACCAGCAAATCCACCAACAACATCCAAGCTACAATACTACAACACAAGTACCGTGGTCCATACTCATCAACTTCCTCGCTCCCGAACCAACGTCCGTTATTATTTCCTCAAAATCCAATCCCAGCCCACACGTGTCACCTCTGCCCTGCCTGCCCAGCCCCGCCGCCCATTCTACTCTCCATCTCTCTCAACGCCTCCACAATTTCTGAAAAGGTGGGTCGATCCGCAGGGTCTGCCGCCCAGCATCTCTCCATGAGTTGCTTCCAGGCAGGGTCGCACCAGGAGGGCACGGGGGGGCGCAGGCTGTTCGTGAGAATGCCTGTGATGATAGCGCCTGCATGCATGCTCGCGTAGGGCTCCTCCCCTGTGAGCATCTCCCACATCACCACTCCAAACGAGTATACATCCACCTGGGGGACGTACCGACAAGGGAGAGGGCGTGCATTACGGCATGGAGGCATGATGGCATGATAAGATCAAGGCAGGAAAACACTGAGGAAAGGAAAACATGCGCCACCACATCAAGTCAGCGCTCCTCGCATCCTTATCACCTTGTTGCCCACCTTCTCACATCTCCCTCTCACCTTCTCCCATCCCCCTCTCACCTTCTCACATCCCCCTCTCACCTTCTCACATCCCCCTCTCACCTTCTCCCATCCCCCTCTCACCTCGTCTGTCACGTTCTTGTGACCGTCCAGCAGCTCAGGCGCCACCAGGGCTGTAGTATGCAAAGAATGCATGCCTTTCTTGCACCTTCTCACATTTCCCTCTCACCTTCTCCCATCCCCCTCTCACCTTCTCCCATCCCCCTCTCACCTCATCTGTCACGTTCTTGTGACCGTCCAGCAGCTCAGGCGCCACCAGGGCTGTAGTATGCAAAGAATGCATGCCTTTCTTGCACCTTCTCACATTTCCCTCTCACCTTCTCCCATTCCCCGCTCACCTTCTCCCATCCCCCTCTCACCTTGTCGGTCACGTTCTTGTGTCCGTCCAGCAGCTCAGGCGCCATCCAGGGCAGAGTGCCGCGCATGCCTGCCGACACCATCGTCTTGTGCTTCACCTTGGACAGCCCCAGGTCGCCCACCTGCTCCCATGCACCGCATGGCACCACACCACACCCATGCACACGAACACGAATACAACGACGGGCGGAGGAAAAGGGAAGGGGGAGGGGGGAAGGTGGAGAGGGAGGGGCGAAGGAGGGTAAACGAATGAGGGCAGGCAGTGTGATGAGATGAGATGAGATGAGATGAGGGCGGGGGAACGTGGAGTGCAAGGACCACGCAGCTCAGACACTATTGAGAATTCTCACGAGCAACTGAAGCACCGTGCAGCAGGGCAGCATGCATGCTGCGCATGCCTGCAGACACCTGACACCCGTCACCCGTCACCATCTCCGTACCTTGCAGATGGGGTGCGCTGGGTCGCGCAGGTTGACGAGGAGGTTGTCGCACTTGAGATCAAAGTGCACGATGTTGCGCGAGTGCAGATACTCCATTCCAAACGCCGCGTCCATGGCTATCATCACGCGCTTGCGCCTGTCGATGGACCTACGGGGGGGAAAGGAGGGGGAAGGGGAGAAGGGAGGGGGACAGGGGTGGGGAGAGGGGATGGGGGAGAGAGAGGAGTGGGGATGTTGCGCGAGTGCAGATACTCCATGCCAAACGCCGCGTCCATTGCTATCATCACGCGCTTGCGCCGGTCAATGGAGCTGCGGGGACAGGGAAGGGGGATGGGGGGGGGGGGCGGGATACAGAAGGGAGGAGGAGGAAAGGGAGGGGGGAGATGGGCAAGACTCCTGATGTTGCGCGAGTGCAGATACTCCATGCCAAACGCCGCGTCCATGGCTATCATCACCCTCTTGCGCCGGTCAATGGACCTGCATAACGAGCGGAGGGTAAGGGGAGGGGAAGGGGAGGAGCGCGTGCGTGATACAGGTGAGTGGAAACGCCAAGGGAAGAGTGTGGAGGGCTAGCACAGGGAAGAGTGTTCTGGGGAGGAGTCACACTGAGCAGACAAGAAAGAATGAAAGAAAGAAACAAGCAAAAAGAGAAGAGAAACAGCAGGGGCAGGAGAAGAAAAAGCAGCCCAGAAGAGAAGAAAGAACCGCAGAGCACAGCACAGCACAGCACGGCACAGCACAGCACGCACCGGCCCTTGCGCTGCAGCACGCTCTTGAGGCTGACATTAACCATGAACTCTGTGACCGTTGCCAGGCTGTTGTCTGCCTTCATATAGGAGGCCCAAAAGAAAAGAGGACAGGGAGGGAGGAAGTGGGGAGGGGAGGGGGTAGAGGAGAGGGGGAAAGGACCCCCACACACATACCGGCCCTTGCGCTGCAGCACGCTCTTGAGGCTGCCGTTGACCATGAACTCCGTGACCGTCGCCAGGCTGTTGTCTGCTCCGTCCTTCACCACCCCGTAAAACGCCACCACGTTCGGATGGTGCAGCCCGGCTAAGAGACACGCCTCCCGCCAGAAGTCCGCCACCTGCTGGGGTGCGTGAGCAAGGAGGAGAGAGGTGGGAAGGTGGTGGGAAAAGGGGGTTGGACGGGGACAGGGTCAGTGGAAGCAATTTTTGAGGCGGCATAAGAATAGAGGGAGAGGGAGTGAGAGGGGGCAAGGTGAGCGGGAGAAATATTTCGGGCGCAAGTGAGTGAGAGCCGAAACAATTCGGACAACTATATAAGTCGGATGCCCCCCTCGAAGATCCGATGTCTCTGGCCAGGGGAGGAGTGGGATAAGGAGGGGAGGGGAGGAGCAGGACGAGGTGGGTAGAGCAAGGCCCCTCAAAAACAGGAGAGCGCCGTGAGTAAGAGCTGGTGAAGAGAAGACAAAGTTTGGAGCTCGCGTGCCCTTTCCCACCTCACCCACTTTATAATTCACCCACGCACACCCTTTTGCTCTTTCATCCCATTCCTCGCACCCCCCAACCTTCCCCACAGAAGCCCCCAAACCCTCCTCCCCTCCCTCTCCCCCCCCCTCAACCCCCACTTTTCCCACCAAAGCCCCTTAGCTGCACTGCACTGCACTGCACTGCACTGCACTGCACTGCACTGCAATGCACCCACCATGCGCTCTTGCTCGGAGGACCGGCCGTCAAACACGGACGCCTTGATTCTCTTGATTGCCACGTCTGTGCCGCGCCACTTGCCATGCACCACCGTGCCATATGTGCCCGACCCCAGCTCCCTCAGCTCCTCCAAGTCCTCGTTTGCTATGGTCTGGGGGGACGGGAGGGTGGAGAGGGAAGAGACAAGGGAAGCAAGGAAGAGGCAGGAATTGGCAGGGAGGGGAGTGCACGAGTGAGTGGTGGCCACTTGCCATGCACCACTGTGCCATACGTGCCTGAACCTAGCTCCCTCAATTCCTCCAAGTCCTCGTTCGCTGTCTGGGGGGTAAGGTAGGTGGAGAGAGGGTGGAGGGGGGAAATCAAAAAGTTGCATGGGTTAGGATCGGTGGGGTAGGAGGTAAGGAAACAGAGTTGGACAGGGAGCAAGGGGTGGGAGATATGGAGGTCAGCTATGGGATGGTTGTGGGGCGGGACAAATAGAAGGGGAGGGGAGAGAGCAGAGGGAGCAGAGGGAGCAGAGAGCGCAGAGGGAGCAGAGGGAGCAGAGGGAGCAGAGAAAGCAGGAACACAGCAAGGCATTACCTGCAGCCCTTGTCTTATGGCCTCTGCCTCGGCCTCCCTCCCGGCTCCCACAGGCGCTGTGGGCGGCCGTCCCACCGGCACCACCGGCATGCCACTCGGATCCGCTCTTGCTGCTCCGCCTGATGCCTCTCCTATCCCCTGTAACCATGCAATCAGGCAATCAGGCAATCGGGCAATCAGGCAATCAGGCAGGCATCCAGGGCAGATGCCAGTCCTTGAGAGGGTCAGACAGTTGAGAAACGCAAATTGTTTGACCACGGAACGGAGAGTGAGCAAGGAGTGGAGTGCATATACTCAGAGCCACATGCAAGGGCAAGCAAGAGGAGGCAACTCGCGTGTAGGAAGCGGGAGTTAGGAATAGGAGAGCAGCAAAATGACAGGAGTGAGGGGGTGGAGGTGAGGGAGGGGAGAAGGGAGAGGGGAGTGAGTGAGTGAGAAAGAGAGAGAGAGTGAAGGAGGTGACGGACCTTGGAGGACAGAGCAGCTTCCATGCGCTCCACCACCTCTTTCTCCATCCCCACCACCTGCCCACTCGCTGCCCCTACCACCCCACTCGCCGTCGCCCCTACCGCTACCCCTACCGCTGCTCCTGCCGCTGCCCCTGCCGCTGCCCCTGCTGCTGCCGCCCCGTCTCTCCCCACGCTCTCACCCCCCCCACCACCACGCACCTCCCTCTCCTCCTTCTCTTGCACCTGCTGCCCTTGCTCTGCCTTGCCTTCCAGGACCACACGCTCAAGAGAAGCACTGTCAATCAAGCCCCTCTTCCCCTCACTGTCACTGCCTGTCGCTACAGCATCTGCAGGAACAGCACCTGAAGTAGCAGCAGCCGAAGCAGCAGCAGCCGCAGCAGACGCATCGTTTGTTGTCTCTGCACGCGCAGCTACGTCCACTCCAACAACCGCACTCGACCTTTCAAAACCAGGCACAGCAGATTCGTTCCCGCCCATCCGCCCTCCTGCCTCTGGCCCACCCCCACCTCCTACCTCACGCTCTCCTTGCCCCACAGAAGAACCTTCGCCTAACCTTCCCTCCACTGCCACGCCAGCACTAGCATCACCAGCAACAACAACCGTCGCACCAGCAGCATCAGCATCAGCATCCCCGTCGCCCCTATTCCACCCACCACCACCACCACTGCTACCCCCAGCAGTTGCACCACCAGCACCGAACCCTACCCCTTCCCCTGCCGCCCCTAACTGAGCCGAGTACACATTCAGAGAGCCTAAGGGCGGAGTGGCAGGATCACTAGATAGAGAGGAAGAGGAGAGACCGGATGAGACAGCCCCGCTACTGCTGGCTGTGGTGTGGGAGAGAGAAGCAGACCCGTGAAAGGCGGATCCGCCAAAGGATAGATGCTCTATAGACATGCCTAGGCTGCCTAGGACCATTGATGCCACGTCAACTGCCACGTGGCGCTCTGACGAGCCGCTGGCATAGAGATCTGGGGCTGGGTGGGGGGTGAGAGGCGATGGGAGGAGTGCTGAAGGCGACGGCAGGTTGGGAAAGGAGGAGGGAGGAGGGGGCGGAGGAGAGGAGGAGGCGGAGGTGGGAGGAAGGGTGGGGAGTGCAATGGCAGCAGAGGTAGGTACAGAGGCAGCGGTTACAAGGGTTGCTACAGATGCAACTACAGGTTCTGCTACAGATGCAGCTACAGGATTTCCGAGCGCTGACGTGGCGACGATTGATTGGCTGGTGGAGGTGGGTGTTACAGCAGGGTGTGCAGGTGGTAACTGGATAGACATGGAGGAATGTGGGGGGTAGGTGGGAGCATGTGAGAAGGGGGTGACAGCTGGATCAGAGATGGAGTGGGGAAAGAAAGCAGCGGAAGATCCAAAGTGCATGGACGATCCAGATTCACCCGGCCCTGCCTGCAGCTGCTGCTGGTGTTCCTGCTGCTGCTGCTGCTCCTGCTGGTACAGGTGGTACTGCTGACCTTGCACCAGTGATTGCTGCTGCTGCTGCTGCTGCTGCTGCTGCTCTAATGCTGCTGCACCCAGCCAAGAGAGCACAGGGGGGAGCGCGGTGTTGTCTAGAGCAGCAAGGGCGGAGGCGGATGGGCGCCTGGGAAGGGCCCTGGGGGGCTGCACAGGAGAAGACGGGAGAGAGACAATCGGCACGAGTACTGATGTCGCCGATTCAGCAGCAACAGGAAATTCTGTTTCTGCTGCTGCTGGGGAGGCTGCTGCTGCTGCTGTTCCTGCTGCTACAGCCGCTGCTGCAGCTGCTGCTGTTGCGAATTCTGTCGCCGCTTGCCCTGGAGTAGCAACCTTGGGCCCAACATGGGATGATATGTGCGAGGGCGTTGTGTGTGTTGTGCTAGGTGGCAGGGCATGTGAGGCAGCAGGCAAAGCAGAGGGAGCGAGGGAGAGGGAGCTGGGCGGTTCATGCATGGGCAAGGCAGTAAGACGTGGGGAGTATGGGAGTTGCACTCCGGGTGAAACGCCAGGAGTGGCAGCAGCAGCAGGCAGGGTTTGAGGAGCAGCAGTAGGAAGAGTGGAAAATGTGGAAGCAGGAGCAGCAGGGGCGGCAGGGGCGGCAGGGGCAGCAGCGGTGGCGGGAGCAGGGGCAGCAGGGGCAGCAGCGGTTCTCTCAGGAGCGAGGGCAGCAGCAGGAGCAGCTGCAGCAAACGGCAGAGGTGAAGGTCCCACTGCTGATGCTCCAAGTGCTGATGCTGCTAGTGCTGCTGCCGGTGCTGCTGCTGGTGCTGTTGCAACCGAAACGTGTGATGATGCTACTTCCAACGAAGGTGGCAGGGTGTGCAGAGAGGTAGAGTGGGCCAAGTCAGGGGTGAAGGACGGTGAGAGATGGTAGGTGGTGGTGGACACAAGGGAAGGACTCTGCTGCTGCTGTGGTTGTTGCTGCAGCTGTTGCTGCTGCTGCTGAGATTGGTGCTGCTGCTGCTGATGCTGAGATTGTTGCTGTTGCTGCTGTTGCTGTTGCTGCAATTGTTGTTGTTGTTGGTGCTGCTGCTGCTCCAGCAGCTGCTGTTGTTGCTGTTGCTGCTGCTGCTGCTGCTGCTGCTGCTGCTGCTGCTGCTGCTGCTGCTGCTGCTGCTGCTCCAGCAGCTGCTGTTGCTGCTGCTGCTGCTGATGCTCCTGCAGCTGCTGTTGCTGCAGCATCACCTGCACGTTCAGCCCAGCATGTCGCCCCGAATTCTCCACCACCTGCCCCACTGCGCCCACTCCTGCCGCCACCCCTGCTCCTGCTGCTGCGTGTAGCACTGCCTGAGACGCTGCAGAGTGAACAGGCGACCAGGTGGAGGGAAACTGAGGTGCAGAGAAAGGTACAGCCACTTCCCTAAGCTCCTGCTGCTGCTGCTGCTGCTGCTGCTGCTGCTGCTGCTGCTGCTGCTGCTGCTGCTGCTGCTGCTGCTGCTGCTGCTGCTGCTGCTGCTGCTGCTGCTGCTGCTGCTGCTGCTGCTGCTGCTGCTGCTGCTGCTGCTTCTGCGGCGGCGGCGGCGGCTGCTGCGGCTGCATCTGTTGCTCCTCAACCCCAGTTGAAGGTCCAACAACAGAGCTTCCCCCACCCGTAGCCTCCCACGCTCCCACCCCTCCCCTTGCTCCCTCCCCTGCCCCTCCCTCAGCTGCTGTCACAACTCCTCCTCCTGCTGCTGCTGCAGCTGCTGCAGGAAAAGCGGCAGCCGCAGCAGCACCAATTTCAGGGCTGGCCCATGGGGGCAGAACACTGCTAGATCTAACACCTCCAGTCATATCTGCCCCTACCAACTCGCCTCCTGCTGCTGCTGCTGCTACACCAGGAATGGGTACTGCAGGATGTGGCAAAGCCACTGAGCCTGGGAACACAGCGGGTACGGCTGTAGCAGCTGTAGCAGGCGCGGAATCAGGTGACGCTACAGATGCTACAGATGCCACAGACGGTAAGGATGGAATGGATGGTATGGACGGGACAGATGGTATGGAGGCTACAGGGTATGGCTCAGAAGAAGTGTCGTCCTGCAGAAAGGCAGAGGAGGCGTTTGAGAAGCGCCTTTGGAGCTGTTCTGATGTCCACTCCTCTTCTGAGTCTTGGTTTGCATCCTCATGCGCTGCATGTGCCCATTGCTGCTGCTGCTGCAGGAGCTGCTGCTGTTGTTGCTGATGCTGCTGATTCTGCAGCAGCTGCAACTGCTGCTGATGCTGCTGTTCCTGCAACTGCTGCTGCAGCTGCAACTGATGCTGCTGCTGTTCCTGCTGCTGCTGCTGCTGCTGCTGCTGCTGCTGCTGCTGCTGCTGCTGCTGCTGCTGCTGCTGCTGCTGCTGCTGCTGCTGCTGCTGCTGCTGCTGCTGCTGCAACTGCTGCTGCTGGTGGTGATGCAGCACCTGCGTGTCTAGTGTCCCTTCCTCCCCAATCACAACACACTCCGTCCCAACAAGCCCCGCACCCCCATACATCTCCACACCAACCGCACCACCACCACCAGCACCACCACCACCACCACCACCACCACCTCTCTCCCCACCTCCACACACCACTTCTGAACACACACCAGCAACCCCCACCTTCCCAACTTCCCCTGCATTCTCCCCAAGCGCTGGGACCACAGCATGAGGCACAGTGGCACGGGCTTGTGAGTTCTCATGTGTATTCTTCTGCTGCTGTTCCTGCCCATGCAGGTCGCTATGATCGCCTATGAGAGTCAGCAGCGCTGTGTCCCAGTCTCCAGCGTTTGATACCATCTCTTTCTCCTCCACACTGCTCTGCCTGCCGCCTAGCGCTCCCTGTTCTGTGGTGCCCGATACAGGCACAGCAGCAGCGGGCATGGGGTGAGGAGCAGCAGGAGCAGCAGGGGCAGCAGGGGCAGCAGGGGCAGCAGGAGCAGGTAATCCCCCTAGCGGCTGTGGCAGCAGCGGCTGCTGCAGGGGCTGTTGCTGGGCTGCCAGGCCTACAGGCATCTGAATAGGCAGCGGTGCTGACTGCACTGCCACCTGCATAGCTAGCGACTGTCTGTGTCCCTGTTGCTGGTCCACCTGCTGCTGCCCCACCTGCTGCTGCTGCCCCAGCCCATGCCCCTGCCCCTGCCCTTGCGCTGCCCCGACAGCAGCAGGCATACCGTGGTGTAACAGCAGCGGTGCACCTGCATGTGTGATGGCATGCGAACCAGCAGGTGTAAGAGCATGCGGGGCAGCATGTGAGGCAGTGTGTGCGGCAGCAAGCGAAACAGCATGTGGACTCAAGTGGAGTGTCGTTGGAGATTCAAATTGCTGCACAAATGGAGGCCGAGGGGCTAGCAGATGCGAGACCGGCACGGTGGAGAGCGGTGCAGCAGAAAGCGGTGAGGTAGAGAGCGGTGCAGAGAGAAGCGCAGGAGAAACGAGTCCAGAAATCGGGGCAGGTGCGGGCGGGGATCCATGCCACCACTGCGCCTCCTGCTGCCCAGCAGCAGCAGTAACAGCAGAAGCAGCAGCAGCAGTAGCAGCAGCAGCAGCAACCGGCAATGCTGTAACTGGGGCGGATGGGGCTCGATGCAACTGATGATGCTGCTGCAGCTGATGCTGCTGATGCTGGAGATGCTGTTGCTGCTGTTGCTGTTGCATCAGCAGGTGATGCTGATGCTGATACTGCTGGGGCTGATGATAGTCCAGAGCAGCAGCAGAGACAGATTGTCGCATGGGCGACAGAGGCCCTGCAGCAAATTCTCTCAAGAGTGGGCTATCTATATCATGATCCTCCCCGTGCGACCTTGACTGCATGAACCGCACTCCACCACTCACACCACCCATACCAACCGCAGCAGCCGCCGCCGCAGCAGCAGCGGCAGCGGCAGATCGCGTGGGGGAGGAGACAGTTGAGTTAGCTGCAGAAGAGGAGGTGGAGGCAGAGCGTAGGCCTAATCGAATAGGCGTGAGGTGGTTCATAGGAGAAAGAACCTGAGACAGACCGTGCCCCTGCCCCTGCCCGTGTCCCTGCCCCTGCGCATGCACCTGCCCATGCCCATACCACTGTCCCTGTCCATGCCCATGCCCCCGATCGGACGGACTCCCAGGGAGGGACGGCCGTATGAAAGACCGATCCACACTGCTGCTGCTGCTGCTGCTCTTGCTGCTGCTGCTGCTGCCGCTGTATGCCTCCAAAGCGCCGCCAAACGGGTGGTGGATCAGAGACGAGGCGGCGACTGCAGGCGCGGCTGCAGCAGCTGCTGTCGCACCAGCAGCTACAGCCGCAGCAGCAGCAGCGGATGTAGCAGCAGCATCAGAAGCAGGAGGAGGGGGAGAAAGGCCTGGGTTGTAGCTAATACCAGAAGGGATAGTTGCGAGGGCCATAGAGGGCGGTTCAAGGGTCGGCGGCAGCATGTGCTTGCGGCCTGGAGAGAGCTGTGAGGCTTGTGAGAGGGGTGAGGGCTGCAGCACTGTCAGGGAGTGAATGTGTGGTGGCACGGGCATGGGGTGTGCGGGAGTATGGGCAGAATTGGACCCGTATTCTGCAGGGCTGATGCTTGCTAACGGGAGCCCGGCTGCCGCTGCTGCTTCTGGTGCGGGTGCTGCTGCTGCTGGGCCTGCTGGAACACGCCTGAAAGCATCTGCTTCGCTGCTTGCAGCATCGAAAGGACTAACCATTTCCGCACCAGCACTGTTCCTCCTGTCAATACCCGCTTCCGCCCTGAACTCTCTCGCCACATCCGCATCAACACCACTACCTCTCTTCTCTATCTGACGCATCATGTCGCCTTGCATTCCAGGAATTCCGGATTCACAAACAACCAACTGCCCCCTACCCCCTCCCTCTCTCCTTTCGCTCACATGCCCACCCTCGTCGTTCCATCCCTTATCCGCTCTCCCCCCATCCCTCTCTCCCTCTCGCTCTCTATTGCCCTCCTCACCCCTTTCACCCCCGTAGTCCCTCCCCCGCTCGCTGCTCCTCTCCCTCCTCTCCTCCTTCCACTCGCTGCTCCTACTCCTCCCTCTGCTCCTCCCCCTTACCTCATGCTCTCGGTCCCACCCCCCTCCATCCCTCCCAGTTTCCCTTTCCCTACTCCTCCCCCTGCTCCTATCCCTCTCACCTCTTCCCCTTCCCCTGCTCCGATCCTTATCTCGACTTCTCTCATTATCCCGGTCCCGCTCTCTGCTCTTCTCCCTGCCTCCACCTCGCTCCCACTCTCGCTCCTTCTCCCGATCCCTCTCCTCCCTCTCCCTACGCCTGTCCCTATCTCTATCCCTCGACCTCTCCCGCCCCCACTCTCTTTCACGGTCCCGCTCCCTCTCCTTCTCCCGCTCTTTCTCCCTCTCCTCCCGACTCCAATCCCGGTCCTTATCCCGCTCCCTCTCCCTTTCCCTCTCTCTTTCTCTCTCTCTTTCCCTCTCCCAGCCTCTGTCCTTCTCCCGGCTCCTCTCTCTGCCACGATCCCTCTCCCTCTCTCTATCCCTCCCCCTGTCCTTCTCTCTCCCATCTCGCTCCCTGTCACGCTCCCTTTCCCTCTCCCTCTCCCGCTCTCTATCCCTCTCCCTCTCCCTCTCCCGTTCCCTCTCCCTTTCCCGCTCCCGCTCCCGATCCGCCTCCCAATCCCCCTCCCTCTCACCCTCATAACCCCGTCCTTCGTACCCCTGCCTATCCCTCTCCCTCTCTCTCTCCTTCTCCCACTCCCGCTCCCTCTCCCTCCCCCCTTCCCTTCCCCGCGCTCGCTCCCCGTCGTCCTGGCTGCTCCCCCGCACATGCTGCACCGCCAGGGCTCCCGCACTGCCGCCCAGGAACATGCGCACGCGGCGGCCGCCCGACGCCTTATGCGCCTCCCTGTCGCACTCCTCCAGCATGTTCTCGAGATCCTCATCATTGCACACCGATACGAGCGAATCCAGGTCTTCTCCTGGCAACTGCAGGTGTGCACGCGGGAAAGGAGAAGAAGGCGAGGGGGACAGGTCGTGGGGGAGAGAAAGAGACGGAGAGGGGGAGGGAGGGGCAGGGTGGTATGGCAAGCGGAAATCAATTCAGAGGTCGCTCCAACAATTGATCCAACCGTCGCTCCAGCAGTCGCTTCATTAGTCGCTCCAACGGTCCCTCCAACGGTCTCTCCAATGGAAACGGATCGACGAAGCAACGCGAAGCACGGGGTGGAAAGGGGAGTACGCTGAGAAATCCGGCGGCCGAGGGAGAATCTCATGCACAAACATACAACTCGGAAACACAATCAACAAAATGACTGCAAGTGCCTAATTGACCTTTTTCAAGAGGCTAATTAATCCACAGATCCCTGGTATTATAAAAAAGCTACCTGATATTTGATGAAGACGTTGTGGCCGTAGATGTCCGCCAGCCGCGACTGCAGATCGACGAAGCGCATGTGGCGCGGCACGGACAGCAAGCGCGTCTCGCCGCCTACGTAGCGCAAGCGGTGGTAACCCGCCTGATGCACGATCCCCCCTCCATGGCTCACCAACAGCTTCACTCTGTGGGAGAAATACCCCTCCGCGCCTCCTCCCCCGCCCGCCCCCCCTCCCCCGCCAATCCCCCGGCCCGCGGACCCGTGCATCGGGGTAACCGCGGCGGAAATCGCCGAAGCGCCTAGATCCATGCCATCCTGAACCATGCGCAGCGGGATTAGATTTCCCCCCAACCCCATCATATCGAGGCGCTCGTGGCTTGGCACGGGCGGAAGCGGCCGCATGGGGGGCCGATCGATTGGATCCAGGGACAACTCTAGCATGCTCGAGCCGCCCATCGCGTCGCTTAAAGCGGCGGAGTCGCTGCTGGCGGTGCGCGAGATTTCGCGGTAGGAGCGGGAGACGGGTGAGAAAGCATCGGTCATGGCGGGGTGAGTGAAAATACGATCTGGATCTGGGGAAGCGCCGTACGGTGCGTGCGAGGGAGACAGAGGGTGCGCGCTCCCCGCAATTCCCGCAATCCCCTCGTTCAACGTGCAATCGCGCTGCAAGTGTCCGTCTCTATCCGCTGCTCCTGCTCCTAGCACCGGCGGAGCCACCGTCACCGCATCTGCCGCTGCTGCTGCTGCCGCAGCCGCCGCAGCAGCTCCTTCTGACGTTGCAACGACACCGGCGGCGTGCGAAATCGCGTCAACAGGGACCGAAACCGGCAGGCCCCCGAGGGAAACACGCTTGCGATGCCCCACGCTATGCCGACGCCAATTAGAGCCATGCGATAGCGAATGATCGTCCGACGAGCTATGACGATCTGCCCCGTCCGCCTCTATGAGTCTGTCGAACGCGGACCAGGAGGGCGCCGCGACTCTGGGGAACGCTGGCGGCGCGGAGTCGGCTTGTTCCGCGAGCGTGAGAACGGGGAGGCTGGAGAAGTGCGCGAGGCGCGCGCGCGGGGAGTAGGGGGACGGCGAGCGCGGGGACGGCGAGAAAGGCTGGTCGAGATGCCCCGAGCCATCCACGTCAAACGCGTGCGTGGCAGGATCTGGTACGCTCCACTTGGCGACGGCGTCGGGCACTCGAAGCGTGCGCGGCGCGCGGCGAGCTGCAAGTGGCGGGCTACGTCTAGCGAAGCGCCGCGACGGGATGGGTGTGAGACCGGGTATGGTGGAATCAGGAGACACTACTCCTGCTAAAATAGTCGCCGCTGCAGCCGCAGCTGATTCCGCTCGCTGGGTGTCGTGGTCTGGGGAGGTGGAAGAGCGGTCTTCCGATGCCTCCATAACGAGACTGCGGACGTATAACGGGGACGGCTGCCAGAGCTTAAGGGAACGGGAGGGGCTCTGAGAAAAGGGTGAGGAGGGATGGGTAAGGGGGTGTGAAGAGGGGAAGGGGAATTTAGACAATTAAAACCGGAGTCTCAAGTATCCCGAGTTTGCCTCATCCTTCCTACCTTTGGTTGGGTCACAAAGTCCAACCAAGCTTCCTACCTTTGGTTTTGTCACTAAGTCCAACCAACCTTCCTACCTTTGAAACCTGTGGACCCTGGGTTTTAAGAAAGAATTGAGCATTTTGAGGAACAATTCTACCGTGGATGAGCTTGTAGCTCCAACAAATGAGACGCTTCTCGTTAAGAGGCATTATGACCTAAAGTACAGACGAACAGGTAGATCAGAAGTCGATGTTAGGCGATTAAAGCTAATTACAAATTGGGCTGACATTTTTGGAAGGTGCGTGGTCTATTTCATATTGATCCCTTGACCAGAGGTCCCGCAAATCAAGGAAGAAGTCCCTCCACAATACGCGAACATTTTCTCACCTAATGTAGGAAAATAGGAGCCAGATCATACAATGGAATGACAGAATCCGCCTTCTTAACTACAACGATAAAGTGCCAAACACTAAACTTGCACCACACTAGTATGACTGACTAAAAGGGCCAGGTGGTATTAGAGAGTCCAGCCGACGAAGTACCTCAGCTGGTTGTTCAAACGAACAAACGAATGAGCTCCTAGCACTGAGGCTAGTCACTTCGAGGAAGGCTGCAAAGTAGGCTCTGCGAGGGACAGGACAGTACAACAGCATGATCCGAACTGGAACAAAGAAAAAGTCCAGCTTGGTTCGACTACACCACACAGACGACACCACCCAGCTTTTTGGAGGCTCCGTTTAGGTTCGGGATGGATTATGGGGAGTTGACTGGAGTTCCCGGACCTGGGGTTTGGCGTGTGTGCGGCGGGCGGAAAGTTCAGGACAGCCTGGTCATCCATGCGCCATGGCGCAACCGGAAGGGGTGTGTCCCGTGTGGGACGCGCAACAGTTTGCGCCTGGTTCGCGATGCTACTTGACTGGCAGAACGGATTTTGGATGCCTGAGCTGTGCTGTGGGTAATTTGGCGGCGCTGGTGGAAGGGGGTCACCCTGGCCTGCCTTATGGTTAGCCACGCGGCACGAGGGTTCGGCATGTCTTAAAGCATGCTCAACAATGCTTGTTTCGGGAAATTCGACGTTTGGCGAAACGGCTTTAGGTTTGAAGGATTTTCGCTCGGTTCCAGATGAGAATGGAGGTTCACCTCACTGCCCTCTGGCATGACAAGTTCCAGTGTGTGCTGTGCTTGCGAGGAAGTCTCTAGGTCGGGCCTGGCCGCCAGCGAATTGGAGGAAACGGGCTTGGGACTACATACTCATTGGTGGGTCTGCGAATGCATGCTAGACATGCCAGATGGCAATCTGGAGCTCTTCGGGCTTCGCGAAATTTCGGGATGTTCAAACAAGCCCATAGAGAATTACTGTAGAACCTGGATCGGTGATTCAGCCTTACTCGCGTGGCCTCGAATTACTCGAGTGGCCACCAAATTTTGTGATAATTACTCGAGTGGCCACGCCAGGGGATTCCCGCTGGTTTTTCTTTTACCCGGCGCATTACCCTACAAGGGTTTGTATCCCTGAAACCTCTGTACTGATTAATGCGCGATCTTCAATATCCGAAATTTTATGATCGTGACCCCATATGACCGCGCCTGATTTGACGCGCATTGCAAAACAAAGCACCGCGAATATAATCAACCAATCATGCGCGGTTATTTAATGTCCCGCGCATTGACGCCCGGGCATTGCAGTTTATAATCGCGGAAATATATGATCGGGCATTAATATATGATGTGCCCGACCATTAATGACCGCGCATGATTGGTCGACTATATGCGCGTCCAATCAGGCGCGGTCATATAGAGTCACGAACATAAATTTCGAATATAAATCTCACGCGAAAACATCCATTATAAATTATCGCGTAAACTGAAAATCGCGCAATTATCAATACAGAGGTTTCAGGGATACGAACCCTTGTAGGGTAATGCGCCTGGAAAAAAATCCAGCGGGAATCCCCTGGCGTGGCCACTCGAGTAATTATCACCAAATTCGGTGGCCACTCGAGTAATTCGAGACCACGCAAGTACGAATGAATCACCAAACCAGGTTCTACAGTAATTCTCTTCATACCTTTGCTGCTGTGCCTGCCATCGATGTCCCACCAAATCAATCCCAAGCCCATGCCGACGCGGTGGCGAGCAGCGTGCGTTTGCAGCAAATTTTGATGTGAAGGGGCACAGAATGCCAACTGATGAAGGTGAAAGCTCAACACGCGGCGCGTCGATTGATTGAATGCCAGCATGACCCAATCTCGTTAGCTGGACTTCCGCGAAATCCGGATCATGATTTCATTCACCAAGTGCGGTGTAGAATGGATCTTGGTGGTAGCTTCTCCCGCACCCATGGACAGATTTCCTTCACACCACCAAAATTCCTCCGAATCTTTGATTCTTTGGTGACGAGAAAAATACTCGACATAAGAAACGGGCTGAGAGCGAGCACAAAGGTGAGTCTCCGCGATCGTTACACCAGTTTATGTACTGCATAAGTTGAGAATTGCCATAAAGCTAAGTATTTCATGCCAAAAAGTCAGCTGCAAATAAGAAGTCGATCCTACTCAGGCAGGAAACTTATTCATGCATAATTCATACCTGACCAGCTTCCACACCTCCATATTTTACCTCATATCATATGCAAATCATCCCATATTCATTATTGTAAGGAAATTCCCTTTTCCTTACTTCGCGTCTCTGCTCAACGCGTACATCACTGTAGCACCTCAGTCAGCACCGTTACCACTCGCGACCATCGCATCATTCATCATCCCGCCCTTTTCGCACATCGCATCCCGACCTCACGGCTCGGCTGGTAACCCGCGCTCCGGACCTACGCTTCGACACTTTCCCAACCTCAGTCCCAGGCTCGTCGCGCGACCATTACCGTTACCACTGTAGTTTCGCTATATAATGTTCGCTCATGCCTTCGCTCATTTGTATTCTTGCTTCGATAGTGCAATTCTCGTTCGTTCACTCAATTGCACTCGTAACACTTGGTATTCAGAGCCTACGATCTCATCTCGGACCGCATCCACACCTTCGCTTCCCACTATCTCAATTTTTTGGGGGGGGTAGACGTCTCTCAGCGACACAGCACCGCCGCTCGTAGTGCTCTCTCGAAAGCACGCACGGCCACGACCGAGGCTCTCGCTGAGCTTGCCCGACACCCCCGCCATAGCCGATTTCAATCTCGCCACGTTGACGCAGGAGCAACTCGATCGTCTCGTGCGTCAATTGGAGGATTCGGCGCTCGAAATCGCGACTCTCACGGCGGAACGTGACTCCGCCCGTCAACAGTCAACGGTGAACGTACCGACGACATCACACGCACCAACCAATGCATGTGCACATTCGGAGGAGCCCATCGTCATCTCATCCGGCACACCAACGCAACACAACAGCACGGGACAGTGCTCAGGCGCAGCCAGTGACGGCACAGCCCAACCGATGCCCGGCATGGGAGGGAACAGGAGCGCATTAAGCCCACGGGAGCCCCGAGAAGCCCGTCGGCACGTGGAGTTTGCGGCGACAAGTGGTGAGAACGCCATGATGGCCCCAATGCCACTCAAGCCGCAACGCCCGCCCTGCTTCGACCCAAGCCAACGCGGCGGCCCGACAGTTCAATCGTGGGTCTTCACGATGAATGTGTTTTTCGACGCCAACTACGTCGAGTCGGACGCCGCCAAGATCCGGTATGCGGTTTCACTACTCAGGGGCCCCGCCATGGACTGGTGGCGAGTCATTGTGACGTCGCCGCGCGCCTACGAGCCACCGTCGCACGAGGAAGGGCCCTCGGGTCCAGCTGTTACCTGGAGTTCGTTCTGCGAAACCGCCCAATACAGCACGTGGGATGCGTGGTGCGCAGGGCTTCGGGCGCGTTTTGAGCCGATCGCGGCCTCGATTTCGGCGCGTCAGAAACTGCGCACTTGGCGCCAGCTCGGGTCAGTTCAAGACTACACCAGCGGGTTTCTCGCACTTTGCGAACAGGTCGGCTACATGCACGAGGCGGAGCGGGTGGACCGTTACGTCGGAGGGCTGAAGCTGGACATCTCGCACGAGATAATGCTACGCGGGCTCTCGAATTTCAACGAGATCCTCGCGCTCGCCGAGAAAATCGATATCCTACGCCGACCGAGACCGGGGTCCTATTACGGACATCGTCCTCGGGGACCGACCGAGCACGCCAGTGTACATGCCGTCGCAGCGAATGCAGCTGCCGCGCCGTTTAGAGGGCGCTGCTTTGCTTGCAACCGGCCGGGCCATCGGAAGAGCGAATGTCCAGAGGAGCTGAGGCGTCGAGGAGCAGAGCAGGGGAAGGAGTCTCGGAGGCAGGGAAACGCCAGCAGTCAGTAGAAGTTGGGCCAACTACTGACGAGACTGCCTGCTCGCCCAACCACACCGACCCTCACCGACTCACAGTACCGATTCACGCCATCGATCGGGCTCGGATGAATAAGGAGGGTAGAGCGACGGATTGCCCGGTACTGATCTACGGGAAAATACAGGGAGCAGCAGTGAAGATCTTCATTGACGGAGGAGCAAGCCACAGCTTAGTTAATACCGCAACCGCACGAAAATTAAAGTTAACGCTTAACCGATGTTTACCTGAGATAGATGCACGCTTAGTCGACGGCACGCCCCTGGCCATACGGGAAAAGGTGGAGCGCGTAAAAGTCCGCTGCGGGGGGAACTTCGGGTTTACACAGGAAATGCTCGTGACGACACTGGATGGGCACGATATTTTATTAGGACGTGATTGGCTGCGACGGTACAACCCACGGATCGACTGGATGACGGGGGGCTGCACAGTGCGAAGTAGTGGTAACTGGGTCGTTCTACCTCGCTGGCAGCCACCCAAATCTTCGACGGTCCAGGTCAACGCCATCACGATGAAACGGGCTGTCGCCGCTGGAGCTGACGTGTACGCAGTGGATATCGCACTCGTAGAAAAAGATGAGCAGCCGAGTGATTTGGAGAAACTGCTGGCAACTGTACCGACCAAACTACAGGCACTACTGAAAAAGTTCCCGGGGATATTTCCGGATAATTTACCACAGGGATTGCCACCTCAGCGGGCGCACGACCATAGGATCGAGTTAGAACCGGGGGCACAGCCAACTGTACAGCGGCAATTTCGACTGACACAGCCCGAGCTCGACGAGTTAAGGAAGCAGTTAGATTACCTGTTAGAGAAGCAGTTTATCCGACTGAGCTCGTCACCGTTCGCCGCACCGATACTGTTCACACCGAAAAAAGACGGAGGGTTCCGCATGTGCATCGACTACCGAGCGCTTAACATGGTAACAGTCAAATCGCGATACCCCATCCCCCGCGCCGACGAACTGATCGACCAACTGCGAACAGCACGAGTCTTTTCGAAAATAGATTTACGGGGAGGTTACCATCAGATTCGGGTCGAACCATCGGACTGCGCCAAAACAGCATTTAGGACTAGTTACGGGTCATTCGAGTATACAGTAATGCCATTCGGGCTGACGAACGCGCCTGCGACATTTCAGATGACCATGAACGAGGCGTTTAGACCACTTTTAGATAAATGCGTAATAGTTTACCTGGACGATATTCTAGTTTACAGCCGGGATAAGCAGCAGCACTTAGTGGATCTTGAAGCAGTTTTTAAGGTTTTAGAGGAACATCGGCTACTCACCAAGGGCTCCAAGTGCGAGTTTTTTCGGGACAGGCTAGAGTTTTTGGGTCACGTCATTTCGGAGGCTGGGGTTGAGATTGACCCAAAGAAGCTGGATACAGTAAAAGCGTGGCGCCCCCCAACGAACATCACGGAACTGCAGAGTTTTTTAGGTTTTGTGAATTACGTTCGACGGTTTGTGCCCGACATGGCACGATTAACAGCCCCACTCCTTGATTTACTGCGTAAGGGGGTCGCTTTTACGTGGGGGGAGAAAGAGCATGCTGCCTTCTCTGCCCTGAAAAACGTTCTCTGTTCACCACCCGTTCTACGCATCGCTGATCCCCACCGCCCTTTCGAAGTGGTTACCGACGCAAGTGACATCGCCATCGGAGCTGTACTGTTACAGGACTTCGGCGACGGCCTCCAACCCATCGCCTACGAATCACGCAAACTACATCCGCCAGAGCGAAATTACCCGATACACGACCGCGAAATGCTCGCGATTGTGCACGCATTCAAAGTGTGGCGCTGCTACTTGACCGGCGCAGACGTGACAGTACGGACAGACCATCGATCTCTACAGTACCTCCGTGCACAGCCCCACCTCAACCCACGACAGATTCGATGGCTCGATTTCCTCGAGTCGAATTTTCACTATACGGTCACATACAAAAAAGGAGCCTCGAATATCGCCGACGCACTGACCCGCCCCACTGCCTAGATCCACGCGATACTACTCGCCCAGACCAGCCCGCTACTGACAGGCCTATTTACCCACGGATATCAAACAGACCCGTTCTTTACAGGAGGCAACTCACAGCAATTCGCAGCGGCAAAAGGAGTCTATTACGTAAAAGCTGGAACCGACCGCATCTGGGTACCAGGATACACGCTACTGCGGGAACTACTGTTATGGGAGGCACACGACGGAGTTACCTCGGGACATTTCGGGGTAGAAAAAACACGGCAGCAGCTGCAGCGGTATTACTACTGGCCAGAAATGTTGACTGATGTGCAACGACATGTGGCATCGTGTCCCACTTGCCAGCTCATGAAGTCAAGCACGAAGCGGCCGGCGGGACAATTACAACCCATCCCGCCCCCAGAGCGTGCTTGGCAGCAGGTGACGATGGATTTCGTCACAGGGTTACCAGCTGGGGCGAGTGGGAATGACGCGATCCTGGTCGTCGTCGATCGACTAACGAAGATGGCTCATTTCGCAGCATGCAGGAAATCAATCACAGCCGAGGAAACCGCCCGACTCTTCATCACCACCGTCGTTCGACTGCACGGGATACCCGCATCGATCATCAGCGACACGGCCACGAAATTTACAAGCAACTTCTGGAGGAACCTGTGGCAGCAGTTCGGCACGCGCTTACAGTTCAGTTCATCCTATCACCCCGAAACCGACGGACAGACGGAACGGACAAATCAGACCATGGAGCAGCTGATTCGAGCCACGTGTGACGATCCGAATACGTGGGAACAACAGCTGCCACTCATCGAGTTCGCATACAATAACGCACCATCAGCCACGACGCAACAGTCGCCGTTTTACTTGAATTACGGACAAGACCCAACAGTACCCATGACACCGAATCCCGACAACCCCATCCCACGAGCACAATAGTTCGCCGAGATTCTGCAAGCAGCACGGACCAGGGCAGCAGAAGCAATCAAAAAATCAAACATCATCGCTAAACGCAACGCCGATCGCCATCGCAGACCCGTTACTTATCAGCCCGACGACCTCGTTTTACTCGACACTCAGAACCTCCGCCTGCCCATCACTCCAAAACTCCGCCCTCGATACTGTGGGCCATTTCGAATCAGTCACATGGTTACGCCAGTCACCGCGCACCTCCTCCTCCCTTCTGACTGGTACGTCAGCCCCTCGTTCCACGTCAGCTTACTTCGCCCTTACGTGCCATCCACCAGCCAACTCCCACGACATCGACCCACCAGCATGACACGACCACCAACCGAACCAGTCATCACCCCGGACAAGATCCTGAGCCACAGAGTTCGCGACCCTCGAGGAGCTCGAAAAGTGGAGTTTCTGATCCGCTGGAAAGATCGTACCCCCACCGAGGACAATTGGGTTCCCCTGGAGAAAGTTGAAAATCACCCCGTCGTCACCGACTACCTGCGTAGCCGCAACTTCCGAGACATCCACGCGCTTTCATAAGGAGGACCTTGAGGAGGGAGGGTAGTGTAAGGAAATTCCCTTTTCCTTACTTCGCGTCCCTGCTCAACGCGTACATCACTGTAGCACCTCAGTCAGCACCGTTACCACTCGCGACCATCGCATCATTCATCATCCCGCCCTTTTCGCACATCGCATCCCGACCTCGCGGCTCGGCTGGTAACCCGCGCTCCGGACCTACGCTTCGACACTTTCCCAACCTCAGTCCCAGGCTCGTCGCGCGACCATTACCGTTACCACTGTAGTTTCGCTATATAATGTTCGCTCATGCCTTCGCTCATTTGTATTCTTGCTTCGATAGTGCAATTCTCGTTCGTTCACTCAATTGCACTCGTAACAATTATTCACCCTCATTTTTAGTTAGCAGTATTCTCTGCTGCTCTGCATACCAACTAGTGGACATCTGCCATCCTTGCTGCCAAGTACTATCTTTTGCACCAAAACAAAACTCATTCATTCCTTGCTCTAGAGCAATCAATGCAATCAAAACACATGAACAGACTATACACTCAAAATGAATCCAACTTTAATCAGAAAACCATTGGATTGGTGATTGTCCACTCGACACAAGTATGTTGTTGACCTTGGAAAAGTGCCTGAACAAAATAGTAGCACAGCACAGGAGAGATGCATTGAGAAACACACATGCAGATGCATCCAATATCAAATTACCATAGCAACCCAAGCAACAATTGAGTGCTGCTGCACCACTTACGCTGAACCAAAGAATCCCCTGTGCGCACTCAGGCCCGATGGATGTGCTGAAGATAGCAAGACCACGTTTGAGCCAGGAGGAATCACCCTGGACGTTGGGAGGGTCAAAGCGAAAGTTATACCAGAATCACGAGGCACAACAGCATCATGCGACGATATCAACAATAATGCTGGGCAGTAAGTGTGGCTCGTCTACGCAGGAATGGCACAAAGCAGGCTATTGGAACTTCAATATTAAAAGATTTCCGGCAGAAAGGTGAAGGCAATAAGCTTAGAGAGACGCTTTCATACAACCTGACTCACTTTGCCTTGGTCTTGGCATGATTACCCCAGAGGAGGAAGATGAGAGGGGGAGAGGGAGAGGAGGCCGAAGAAGTGGTTTTGGGTCGCTGCGAGGCAAGTGCACAAATCGTGGCATCTGTAAATTGCTCCCACCCCTTCTTGGCGTGTGAATTGGCTTCGTGGGCTCTCACTGCGATGAAGGGGAGTAGGCCAATCAAGCGGAGACGGTGTGTGTCAAGTGATTGGGAGAGGTGAACAAACAAGGAGGGCGCCAGATGGGGAAATCAGCCCTACTGATGGACTCCTCAAATGGCAAGCGTGCTTTGAAAAGGATGAGATGGGTGTGCAGTGCGATATGTGGTGACAACCTCTCCTCCTTCACCCACACTCACCGGTCAACACTGTGTTGAGGAGAAGCACTCCCTGATAGGAAAGCATACAGGAAGAGGAGACACACAGCAAGGGAAGAAAATGTGGTTCAGCATGTGAGAAGGAGACAGAAAGAGGTGGAGCGGGTGCAGAAAAGACTTTAACACCCAAAATCCATGCTCATATGCCACCAGTAGTCCCATGGCATTGTACATTAGTGCAAACTGTGCGCCCGGAAATCCACCCATTATCCCCACTCCAGCTAACACACCACCCCACCCAGCATACCCTACACTCACGCACAGCACCGCACTGCACCCACCACGCCCACCCCACCTGCTCCGCCCATTGGCGCAGGCAGCCGTGGGCAGGCATGGCAGCAATTATGCCGTCATTGTGCATCTCCTTTACTATTTCAAGGCAGCTCAAGGAACCCACCACGTGGGCCCAGCAGCACAAACAGCTTATGGGCCGGCATAGCAGCAATAGTGCCACCACTGCGCACAATTCCTGAACGCATTACGCTGTTCGAAAGAACTCACCTGGTCGGCCCAGTGGCGCAGGCAGCCGTGCGCCGGCATGGCAGCAATGCTGCCGTCGCTGCGCATCTCCTTGAACACATTCTGCAGCGACGACGGCAGCGGCGTGCCACGTGGCACCGAGAAACTCAGCCCCACAGCCTGCCCTGGGCCGTGGTATGGGTCCTGGTAGGAGCCGTGAGAGAGAGGGGAGAATGTGGTGGGGGGGGAGGGGGGGGGGGGGGAGAATGGGGTGAAAGAACATAGGGGGAAGTGATTAAGGCGTGGCCTGGAAGAACTCAACCCCATGGCCTGCCCGGGGCTGTGATATGCGATCTGCCAGGATGCAGGAAGGGAAAGGTAGAAAGAAAGGACTAGAATGGGGCACGAAGCACCTGGCTCGAAGGGGACTCTGGTATGGGTCGAGTCGGATAAAAGAGGGAAGAGGGGAAGCGAGTCGGTGAAGGGGGCTAATGTGGGGTGGGATAAGAGGTGTTCAGAGGGGGGGGTAAAGCAGAAGGGATACGGTGCATTATGGAGCAAGGTCGGACCCAAGATTTGTCATGCGCCATGCAAGGGGCCCTCCCATGCGCCATGCGAGGGGCCCTGTCATGCGCCATGCGAGGGGCCCTGTCATGCGCCATGCGAGGGGCCCTGTCATGCGCCATGCGAAGGGCCCTGTCATGCGCCATGGTAGGAATCCTGCTTGGGACGGTGAGAAGCGGATGCAGGGGAATGGGGTTCCAATGGGGGCTAGGCCTGCCTATACTCAACAATGCCCTGACAGCCTCACAGCCTCGCCTCCTCTGTAATCACACCCTCACCTGTCCTATAATCACACCCTCACGTGTCCTATAATCACACCCTCACCTGTCCTATAATCACAACCCTCGCTTTCTCCATAGGGCACCGATTCAGCGCCTCGAACACCGAAGCAGCAGGAGGAAACACGCGCTCCTTCCGCGAAACTTCCTCGTCCAGAAACGCCTGGAGCCGCCGCATGTACGGCTCGTCGAACTCCCGTCCAAGCGCTGCCGCCCATGACGGCTCGCGCAGCAGCGATTTTAGCGGGGGAAACTTCCCCGCTTGCGCGCCAGCCGCCGCATCCGCAGGCGGCGTCGGCGGAGTGAGCGGGACGCCGCTGCAGTTTCCCCGGCTTGCGCTTGCGCTGGCTCCCAGGGACGGAGACTGCGTGGGAGTAACACTCCTGGCGGCGAAGCCAGGCGGAGATTTGGCGCGCGGAGACCTAGGCGGGGAAGACTGGGCCGGGTTTATCCGGGGAAGGTTGTCGCTGCCGCTGTTAAGTCGTATCTGACTCGTGTCGGCGCAGTTTCTTGGCGCGGCGCGCTCGTTCTCCTCCACGACACGCGCAGGATTCGCGTCCGAGGAAGGGGAGGGAGCGGGGTTGTTTCCCCGTGGCGGGGACGTCCCGTTCGCGCGCATTCGCTTGGGCGCGGAAAAGAACGCAGCGAGCGTGGCTTGGCGGGGCTTGCGCGCAGCCATTGCGGGGAAGAGGGAGGCGGAAGAGGTGAAGGGGACCGCGAAGCGCGGGGCGGTGAGAGTGCTGACTTTACCGCGCAGATGAGCGCTGACCGAAGCCGTGAAGCGGGAACTAAAAGGCGAAGGCGGAACGATTCTGAGGGGCATTAGGAGAATGGGAATACTGGAAACCTATAGCATTGAGGAAGCGGGATATTCACGAATGGGAGCACAAGAGAAATGCCAAACGCACAAACTTGCGTCGCTTGCCAAACGCACAAACTTGTCACAGGGGTGGTACAATGCTTCCAATATTTATTGGAAACCGTCAACAGAAACTGACATGGGAAGCGTGCAGGTGTTGCTGCAAGTGGGAGGGAGAAAGGGTAGAGCAGACGAGGGAAACGAAAGTGGAGTCACAGTGACGACGAGTCACGAGTGATAAGTGGTGGTGGAAGGAGCAAGTTAGAAAGGGGAGCAACAAAGTTGGGAAAGGAGGATGGAGGGAAAACCGCTTATTCCCGCGCGCGCGCTGGGGAAGAAATTAGCAAAGCTGCTTTTTATGATTTTGAAAAGCCCCGCTGGTGAGTGTTTCGGGTTTCACCTGCAGTGTAAGTTCGACCACTAGGGCAGATCGAAATGAAATCGTATTCTACCAGATTCAAACCCGTAGGTTAGTCACTCAACTACAACCATTCTTGATGGCTAAGGAGCTTGAAACATGCGTGAAGGTGCGAGAGTGAAGATGGATGTTATCTACAACTACAACCATTCTTGATGGCTAAGGAGCTTGAAACATGCTTTATAGCAAAGCAACTACCAAATGGATAGTGATGTACGGTAACACAAGTTCTTGTAGAGTAGAGAGAAATATCAACTACCATGCCGTATTTCCAGAGCAACAAACAAGATGAGCCCTTGAATCCTACAGAACCCTGGTCCCAACAAGCTCTAGAACAGAAACCAAGGCTCAACGAGTGTTTGAGCCGAAAAACAACAGTACCAAAAGAGAAGTGCACTTGCGTGCACTCTCAATATGTCGCACATCCAAACCATCATCAGCCACAAACAGCACATATTCACAACAACCCAACCCACCTCGACCCGAACCTGATACCTCTCATCTCATCTCAGGGTCAAAAGACAGGTCATCAGAGCGAGCTCCATGCTAGAAAGAGGATAAGACAAACAAGACGGATGAGATGACCCCGCATCAGGCACTGACTGGACTGGACGAGCCATCCAGGAACCACACCGCACTCCTCAGATGCCCTCATGCCCTCACTCATACTCCCCTCCATCCATCACCCCTCCATGATGAAGCTAAGCCCGGCGTCTGCTCAAGCCATGCCCCTCTTTGTATCAACACAAGCCCTCGCACTGAAAGAAGCCCTCTTACTACCACCCCTCCAAACGAGCTAGACCCCCTTACTGTCACCCCACAACACAAGCTAGGTCCCCTTACTGTCACCCCCACCCTCTGCCACTGCACGCATCTCCCGGCCTTCCAGAAGCTCCCCTAGCCGCCTCACCCCTGCTCCTGCTGCCCTCCCTGCCGTCCCCCCTGCTGCTGGAAAGCTTGCAGGGCTGGTAAGGACTGCTGTGGAATGATCCGTGGTGTTGTGGAGCAAGAAGGAGGAGGAAGAGGATGGGGGAGAGGAGGAGAGGGAGGCGGAGGTGGAGGTAACAGAGGAGGAAAAGGAGGAGGAGGAAGAGGGGGAGGAGGAGGAGTGGAAGAAAACAGCGTGTTCTTCTCGCTTCATCTCCCCCCCTCCCACTGGGTCAAACTCCAGGCGGTGGAAGCTGGCAGGCAGAGAGGCGAGGGCACGCATAGCGGGGCAGAGGTTGGGGTGTGGAGGAAGGGAAAACTGATGAATTGAGAGGGTAGGGAAATCAATATGTTTTTGTTTCTGCAGTTCTCTGCTTGATACAATGGAAAAGGAGGTGTGGGACAAGACAAGAGAGTACCACACAGGCTTTTGAATCCCACACACATGGCCCTTGAGACGGTCATTTTGAGGCGCCTCAAAATGCATTTAAATCCCACACACATGGCTCTTGAGACCATCACTGGAAAAGCAATCTCTAAGCATACCCGAGTGACAGGAGCAGAAAGTCACCTTCCACGGACCTACCATTCTTGCAGGAAACGCACAGCAAGAATCTAAGGCAAACTGATGATGCGCGGGCAGGTGCTACTCTGTGTGTGCACGGAAGGCAACAAGAGATGCGCGCGGGTAGACACATGAGAGGTTCCACGCACCTGCCATCCATGCACGCGACGAGCAGCGTGTTCCTCTGGCCGCCGAAGGCCACGAGAGAGCGGCAGTCTGGTAGATGGCGGAACTGGGCTAGAGACCACTCTGAGCTGAAGTAGCGCGGGAGCACTCCTGGTGGGCGGAGGAGGGGGGATGAGAAGGGAGGCGGAAGGGGGGGTTACATGAGGTGGAGAAACTGAGAGTAAGACCCGTCCGGCCAGAAGTAGCGCCGGAGCAGGTGGTGGGGGAAGAGAGGGAGATATGGGCGGGAGAAATGGGAGTGGGGGAGGGAGGGAGGGAGGGAGGGAGGGAGGGAGGGAGGGAGGGAGGGAGGGAGGGAGGGAGGGAGGGAGGGAGGGAGGGAGGGAGGGAGGGAGGGAGGGAGGGAGGGAGGGAGGGAGGGAGGGAGGGAGGGAGGGAGGGAGGGAGGGAGGGAGGGAGAAGATGCAAGGAGAGATGCCATGCATTGTGAGACGACCCCATTTTCAAACGTTTCAGAGACTTCAAATCATGCCATGGTGGAAATTCTGGAAAGACGCCCTCTTACTGGAGGTGTGTGGACAGGAGGAGCCTTTGGAACGAACAGGGAGGTGAGGGGGGGAAAGGGGGGGGGGGGGGGAAGGGAGGGTAGTGACGGGAGGTGGAGGAAAAAGAGGGTACATATATGCACACCCACACACACCAACATGCACTGCGAGACACGAAATCACCCTCAGCACACAAACACATACACCAAGCATACATTCTGCACCACAGAACCACATCGGCATAGGCCCCACATACATTCTGTACCCAGCTCACAAACCCACAAGGCATAGGCCCCGCACCACAGAACCACATCGGCACTGGCATGCGCACATGCATGCATGCACCATGGCAGCACAGGCATGCATGCACCAAAGCTGCACATGCCTACCCACCTTTTAGAAATGACAGTGACGAGCCTGGATTGGGTCTCAGTGCTACAGATACCTCCCCCTCTGCCTCCACACCGCTACTGCTCATACTGCTCCCACTGCTACTGCCCCCCATCACACCAATGCTTCCCACCCCCAAGCCAGCAGGACCACTAGTCCCATCCAACCCACCACTTTTTCCGCTCCCCACCACACCACTACTACTTGCCCCAGCCCCTCCCGTTGCCCCTCCTCCTGCTGTTTCCTCTCCCCCGCCAGCATCACTCCTCGGCCCTTCTTGCACGGCTGCTCCTCCTTCTCCTCCTGCTCCTCCTGCTTCTCCCGCCCCTCCTGCGAGTGCTCCTGCTTCTACTGCCACTGCTTCAAATGGTGCAGCTGCAGCAGCAGCAGGAGGGCTATCCAAAGAAACAGAAGGGAAGGAGAAGGAGGAGGAAGAGCTTGGGGAACCATCAGATGCAGACGGAGCAGAGGAGGACGGAGGGAGAGGGGTGGGGAGAGGGGCGGAAGCAGACTGGGGTAGAGAGAGCGGGTTCGGTTGAGAGGGGCTGGGTGCGGTTCCAGCTGATTGCGGTGACAAGGGGAGATTGGTAATAGTGCGAGAGGAGGGCGCGGGAGCAGGGCGAGATGAAGGCACAGAGGCCCTGGCAGCAGAATCGTTACCACCACCCACACTCCTGCTTTCCCCTGCGCCATCAACCCCAGCGCCGCTATCGCCACCGCCACCGCCACCGCCACCACCACCGCCGCTGCCGCTGCTGTCTTGATTAGAGACTTGGTTAGCAGCGGAAGGAGCAGGAGCCACAATAGCAGCAGCATGAGCAGCAGCAGCAGCAGCAGAAACAGTAGCAGGACGAGCAGCAATGTGAGAAGTGGCAGCTGGAGGGGGGCTACTGGAACCAGAGGCAGGAGGGGAGAGAGCAAAGACATGCGCGGTGCCCTTGTCACTGGAGAGAGCAAGGAAGTGCGCGTTGGGGGAGAATGCCAGGCTGTATATCTCCGCCCTGTCCGCCCCCCTCCGCAGCTGATGCATCATAGGAGCATCACGGGAGTGGGTGGAAGGAAGGGGGGAGAGCGCAGGGGGGAGGGTGCAGAGGGCGGGATCGGTGGGCGCGGCGGTGGGAGGGGAGGGGAGGGAGGGAGGGAAGGGAGGGGAAGAATTGAAGGTTAGTTTGGTGGTGCTTGGAGGGCTATTGGCATTTGCATGGCATGTGTATAGCAAGGAAACATCGGCCTTATTTAACCAACTGACCGAACTAATATCCACTCCATCCCCATCCCCCCTTCCCTGCCCTTTAACCTCACCCACCACCTCTTTTCACGGCCCTCCCTTTTTCCCCCCTACCGCCCCTCCCTTACCCACCTCTCTCCCTTCCTTTCCCAATGCAGTTACGCCCCCGCCCCCCACCCCTCCACCCTTCCTAAACCCTCACCTCCTGCAGCATGGACTCATCAGCAGTACTAAATACACGCACAAGCGTGCCCCTCCTCCCCTTTCCTTCGCCCCCCTGCCCCCCCCCCCCCCTTCGACCCATAGCACCAGTGCACCACCCTCACCTCCTGCAGCATGGACTCATCAGCAGTGCTGAACACGTGCACAAGTGTGCCGCTTCTCTCGCTTCCTTCACCCAACATCACCCCCCCATCTCCCCCCCCACCCCACAGAACCACCCTCACCTCCTGCAGCATGGACCCATCGGCAGTGCTGAACACGCACACAAGCGTGCCACGCACACTATCAGACCCCTTGTTTCTTCCATAGTCCCTTCCTTTCCCCTCCCCCCCCATTCTAGCCCCACTTCCCCCACTCCCCCCCCTAACCTCCGCAGCATAAGCGTGCCCCGCACACTCGCAGTCGCCCTGTCTCATCCATCGCCCCTTCCTTTCTTCCTCCCATCTCGCCCCCACCTCACCTCCTGCAGCATGGAGCCATCGGCCGTGCTGAACACGCGCACAAGCGTGCCGCGCACACTCGCAGTCGCCACGCGCGTGCCGTCCGGGGTGAGCGCCAGGGCGGCAAGCGCCGTCTCATGCGCCGTGATGGTGATGGTGAGGGGCGGCGGGGGGAAGGCGGCGGGGGAGGAGGAGGGCGGGGGGGAGAAGGGGGAGGAGGGGGAGGGGGAGGCGGAGGGGGAAGCGGGCGAGGGGGAGAGGGGGTCGTGCACGTGGTAGTGCTCTATGCGGACCTGATAGGAGCGGGGACGATAGGGAAGAGGAGGGGGAGGGGGGGTGGGAAAGGGGGGGGACGTGGGGGGGGAAGCGGGGGGAGAGGGGGCACATGGCAGGGGGAGTGGGCGGATGAAGCAGGAAAGCGCGGATGCTAGTATCACTTGTGAGAATTCTCAGTAATACGGGTGGGGACGAAAGAGGGGGAGAGAGAGAAAGAGTGGGCACGGGGCGCAGCGGGGAGTGGGCACAGGCGAGAGGAGAGGCGAGAGAGAGAAAAGGGAGGAGAATGAGCCAAAAAGAGCAACGGATACCAACAACCCTCGGACACACAAGCAGCCTCCTTTCCTCCCCCCACCAACACCACCCCACTGTTTCCCCATCCCAAGCGACCATACAAACAAAGCCACCCCGTTCCTTCCCACCCCCTCCCTCTCCCCCCCTCTCCCTTTCCCCCTCTCAGCCTCCCCTCTCCCCTCCCCCCACCCGCCCCCGCACCTGTCCGCGGAGCACCCCCGGGCACGCCAGAACAAACGGCGCGGGCGCCTGCGAGATCGCGACGAGCCCGCGCGTATTGGTGAGCGTGGGGAGGCGCAGCAGCAGGCGCAGGTCCTGCAGCGCGTACACGAACACGCGCTGCGCCAGCGCCACCACCACGCGCTCGCGCCGCAGGCACACTCCGCGCACCTCCGAGCGGAACGACAGCTCCCCCACCGCCAGGCCCTGGTTGTCGTCCCATATTATCACCTGCAAGGGGGGGGAAGGGGGGGGGGGGGGGAAGGGGGAGAGGCCAGGGGATGGGGCGATGTGGGGAATGGCGGGGCGGACGGACTCCTTCGCGCCTCCGAGCGGAACGACAGCTCCCCCACCGCCAGGCCCTGGTTGTCGTCCCATATTATCACCTGGGGTGAAGAGGGGGGAAGGGGGGGGAAGGGGGGGGGGAGGTGGAGCGGGATGGGAGATGGACCCCAACTTGTTGAGAAACGCTGAGAAACGTTGAGAAACGTTGAGAAACGCTGAGAAACGTTGAGAAACGCTGAGAAACGTTGAAAAACGTTGAGAAACGATGCCGCACTCTCACCCACGCGCGCTCGCTCCTCTGCAGGAAGGAAGAGCTCGCCGCAGCCACGCCTTGACTAACGTTCACGATAACAACCGTTGACGTTCACAACAATCGTTCACACTCATTCCCGTCGGGGACGGTTTTGATGACGCCGCCGCGCCTTCACGCTCGTTGCCCTGAGATTTCTAGGCACTTCAGAAGTAGCAAGAGAGGCCGCGGGAGAGGCAATCGGAGCACGGTATTGGTTGCACAACCAGGCGAACCGTGCGGAGTAAGAGAGAGCAAAACAAAAAAAAACTGAAACAAAAAAACGATAGGAAATCGCCTGCGCACACGCGAGCCCGTGGTGCCTGGGTAAGTTCCCGCCACGTACCCCAATTTCCGGGGTAATTTCCCACCTTGTTCTTCGGGTACCGCGGGTGATCCCCGCCGCCGACGAGCGCGAGGAAGTTGCAGCGGTACAGCATCTGCGCCATGCCGATTCCGCCCGCGGGGAAGCTCCGCGCGCTGCGCTGCCGCTCCAGCTGCGCCTGCGCCTGCTGCGCCTGCTGCTGCGTGAGCGAGTGTTGCGCCTGATGATGCTGCTCGTGCTGCTGATAGTGCTGCGGATAGTGCGAATGCTGGTTAATTGGATGCGATTCGACGTGCCGTGCCGCTGCCATTCCCGCTGCCGGGCCGGATGCCGTTGCTGCCGCTGTTGCTGCAGTTGTCGCGTCGCCCGCCACGTGTTGCACAGAGGCAGCGACGGCAGGAGGAGCGGGAAACGCAGAAGTCGCGGCAAGCGATGGGGAAGCACTGGGAGCGGCGGAAGCATGCGGAGGGGAAGGGGGAGGGGGAAGGGGAGGAGGAGCAGAGCTGGAACGGGGTGAGCAGACGCGGCTCAGCGTCTCGTGGACGGCCTGCTGGCAACAGAAAATCCGGAAGCCCCATGACGTGGCACACGCGAAAAAGGAGGAATCCTGGTTGAACGATATCGAGAGAAGCTGCTCCTCCTCTCGCACCGCGATCTCCCTGCTCTCTCCCGCCGCAATTTCGCTACCACACGCGGTGTACGGGGTCGCGGGGATTTTATGACTCGTCGAGGGTTGTTGCTCGGAAAGGGTAGCTGGAGCGCGTAAGTAGACACCACGTGTCACATCGCAAACGCGCTGTTGCAACTGCTGCTGCTCCTGCTGCTGCTGCTGCTGTTGTTGCTGTTGTTGCTGTTGTTGCTGCTGCTGCTGCTGCTGCTGATGCTGTTGCTGTTGTTGTTGCTGTTGTCTCTGATGTTGCTCGTGCTGGCGCCGGTGCTGCTCACCGCACGAATTCCTGGAGGAGTGGACGACGGCCGCAAATTGCGACGCGACGAGCGCCATGGCTGACGCTAAATCCGCGTTTCCCGGTGACGCGGGTGCAGCTCTTCACGAGCCGACGAGGAGGAAGAAAACAGAGGACGAGGCACCAGAAAAATAGAGGCGAAGGTAAGAATGGGGAAAGGAAAACATTAGGGAGGAAACCGAACAGACGGCAGTGAATCCGTGGATTGATTTCGGTTCGGTGCTGCAGTTCTGAGTTATTTTCTGCCGCTGTTCGGCAGCTGTTTTGTAGTGGTTAAGTTAGGGCAAGTGGCGCTTGGCGAGCAGGGTGTGAGGTTGCGTTGCGATGGGGTGAATCTGGTTCCCACGCGAATTCGCTAGTTGGTGTTGAGTAATTACTGTACCGGGTCATTGCTTATTGCGTTTATTTTCTTCTTGGTCTGTGTGATGTGAAGACTGTGGGAAGGGTGGGGGAGGACAAGCAAAGCGAAGGATCGAGTGCGATGCGTGGCACGAAGGATGCGGTGCAATGATTGGCTCAGTGACGACGATAGATTTCAAGTTGCTTGCGTGGCGAAATGATGGGAGAGCGGACGGAAGATCAGGGAAGAGAGGGAGACGAATGCGAGGAGGACATGCAATGCAACGCGCTCCAGCAAGGAGAATGAGATGCAATTTTTCGGCATTCCTTACCGCGCTCTTCAACATCGCGTGCAGCAGCAGTTGTTGTTCGCCCGTTACTGCTACACCAAGTCCTCGCCAATTTTACGTCCCCTGAGATTTCCATCAATCACCCTTGACCATTTTTTACTTCAGGGACTAGACATGGAACTAAAGGCTGTTCATGACATTGTTTGGTGTCGAACGCGCAAAAATCTCACTCAACGGCTGCAGCGCAAATACTGGATCTTCCAAGCCCCGTGCATCAAAACCATCACTATAGCTCGCCACTCCAACCGAGGCGCGCAGCGATTCGACGTATGTTTAAGCGGAAAAGACATCGAGAAGCCGTGCATAGCTGTACCACCTGAATTAGCAGAGCTGATTCGACAGTACCCGGACATCTTCCTTGACGATCTTCCACCTGGCCTGCCATCTCAGCGCTCCAAGTGACGAGAAACGAGGATGAATGCATTGAGCAGAAAGGGGAGTACAAGTAGCAAACCCTAAAGTGTTGTACCCTATATGAACTGCCCCACTACAGCCTACACAGACTATAGCATATATGCCTGACACACCCCCATAGGCAGAGTGGGGGAGAACAAGGGGTCACAAGACCAGTCAAGCAAAGCAAAGCAAGCTCAGGGTGGATCACAACGTCACCATACAGTCCGGGCACAAGAGCAAGGCCACAAGGCCAGTTCACATGCAAGATCATATATATAAAGGTAAACAAGCAAGTGCAGGTATAGAAAGAGGACAGTACAAGCAAGGTCAAGAAGTGAGCAAGTGAGGCCAAGTAGGCACAAGACCTAGCACAGTACAGAAGCGCTGATGATCACAAGGCGGAAGGGCCTTGGTGAAGATATCAGCAGTGTTGGCCTCAGAGGCCACGTACGAAAGGCGCAGCTGACCACGCTGCTGCAGCTCACGAGCCAGGAAGTAGCGGAGAGCAATGTGCTTCGTTCTGTGCTCCAGTCTGTGCTCCCGACACAAGGCCAGCATGGCCTTGTTGTCTACGCACAGAACTGGAGGAGAACGAGGCGGCTCTCCTAGGTCAGTCAGCAGGTAGGTGAGCCAGCGTAGCTCCTGTGCAGCCATGGCCCCTGCGTAGATCTCAGCCTCACAGCTGGAGCTGAGAACAGAAGACGAGCGGGTAGACCGCCACGAAACAGAGCCGGAGCCAAGGCTGAAGGTGTAACCCTGTGACGACCGCTGCAGAGCCTGGTCGTCAGCCCAAGAAGCGTCTGCGTGACATGTGAGAACCACTCGACGCCGCCCTCCAAGCACTAGCCCCATGCCCGACGTACTGCACACGTAGCGCAACACCCTCTTCGCTGCAGCCATGTGCTCTGGTCGGTGTCTCCCAGGAGCAACATAGCGTGCCAAGATGCTAAGAGGGTATGCAAGGTCAGGTCGTGTGCAGGTCATCAGGTACATGAGGCAGCCAACAAGCTCTGGGTACGGGCCACTCGGCTCTACGGACTCATCCGAAGGCAGAGCTGAGAGCGAGTGGCGAGTAGACAGAGGAGTGGCCTGAGGCGAGGAGTACGTGAAGCCGAAGCGCTGAAGGACCTGCTGCACCATGTGTGACTGAGTCAGAGCAATGGTGCGCTGTGCTCTGTCCCGGGTGATGTGCAAGCCAAGGTAGCTGCGCAGTTCACCCAGGTCTGTGCACGTGTGTCTCTTCTGCAGCTCGGACTTCACGTGGGCGAGTCCAGCAGTGTCAGCAGTGGCAAAGATCAAGTCGTCGACGTACACGAGGATGTAGAACGGCGGCAAAGAGGTGTCGGTGCGCAGAAACAGCGACGGGTCGGTTGTAGAAGGAGCAAACCCAAGAGCCGCAAGTGTAGTCCTCAGTGTGTCGTGCCACTCACGGGGCGCCTGGCGGAGACCGTAGACTGGCCGCCGGAGGCTCCACTGGGTACCTGCAGGAAACGACCCAGTGAAGCTAGGTGGGCGGCGCAGCCAGATCTCCTCGTGCAGGCTGCCCTGCAAGAAAGCTGTGCTGAAGTCAAGAGAGTGAAGCTCGTAGTCGCGCTGAGCAGCTATGTGCAGCAGCACCCGAAGAGTAGTCATCTTCGGGGTGGGAGAGAAGGTCTGAAAGTAGTGAACTCCCTGCCGCTGACTGAAGCCTCGAGCCACGTAACGCGCCTTGAAGACAGACGGAGAACCCGGCGGCCGCTTCACCCTGAAGATCCACATGCGACTGACGATGTTCGCCCCAGGTGGGGGAACCTCGTCAACGTAGGTGCCTGTGGACTTCCAGGAAGCCATCTCTGCGTCTATGGCCGACTGCCACTGAGAGGAGTAGGGACCCTCGATCGCCTCAGCATACGATCGAGGAGTCGGGATGTCTGGTGCATCCGGGTCTCCCTCAGGGGCAATCAGCGTGGACATGAGATGGGGCAAAGCAGCCGCAAAGCACTGGAACTCCTCCTGCTTGTCCTCAAGGACGTTCGTGCTAAGAGCACACTCACCCCCGACGGACGGAGGACAGACAGACTCAGACTCAGCAACGAGACTAGCAGCGTAGTCTAAACGACAGCGAGCAGCGAAGTCGACAAGCTCAGCAACTAGGGTAGACGCAGCAGTGGACTCAAAGGAAGGGTCAGTGACAACACTAGCCAAAAGACGCGTGACAGAAGGACTAGCAGCACGAAGAGAGTCAGACTCAAGGTCAACAAGAGGGAAGAGAGGACTCTGGAGGAGACGGTAACGGGAGACACAGAGGAGCAGTGGAAGGACGCAGCGCCATCTAGTGTGTGCCGGGGACCGCAGGAGGACGCGGACGCACAGTACGACCACTAGTGCGAGCAGCACGAACAGGCGACGTAGGACGAGACGCAGGCTCACGACGCTCAGCAAGACCTCCAGTAGGACCAGTGTAGGGAGAAGGAGCAGGTAGAGGGGAGGCGGGCTGTAACTGTGACTGGGACTGGACAGGCTGTGGACACTCTAAGGGAGGAGCAGGACCAGTAGAGGGCGGGAGACCAAGAACCTGCTCCAAGAGCGGAACGAAGTACGGCCTCGGCCGCTCAGCGCCTCCAGAACCAGCAAGGACAGCACCAGTACCCTCAGCGGCAGCACCAACGCCAGCAGCACCTCCAGCTCCAACAGCGCCAACTCCAGCACCCTCAGAAGCACTAGCGCCAGCAGTACCTCCAGCGCCAACACCCCCAGCAGCTCCAGCTCCAGCAGCCTCAGCAGCACCCCCAGATGCACCAGCGCTAGTAGAAACACTAGCGTCAACACCCCCAGCAGCTCCAACTCCTTAGCACCAGCACCGCTAGCAGCTCCATTAGGACCAACTCCAGTGGCCCCAGCAGCTCGAGGACCGCCAGTACGAGCACCTCCGGGACCACCAGCAACACGAGCACCTCCAGCTCCAGCAGCACGTCCCCAGCGGCGGGCAAACCACTCGCGCTGCTCCTATGGAGAGAGTGGCTCCCGCCTCGACGAAGCACCGCCGGCGGCCACACGAGCAGACCCAGCGCCCCCAGGCTCCGCACCCCCAGGCT